CATATCCACCATTATCTCCGAATGATTGACTAAGACGAGAAGATTCACGAAAACGCCAAACATACACTACTACACTTGCCCATGAACAAGCAATGATTCCCAGTTGAATGATGGACCAAAATTGACGAAAGTATTGTTTCTTCAAACGAAATAATAAACGAATTTCGACGATCATGAAATAAATGATGAATAACATGTAAAATATAGTACAGATGACTTGTAAGATCGATGAAAATGCTAAACAAATCCCATACAACAAACTCGATATACTTAAACTCTTTCTCTTTCACTTACTATAGAAATTGATGGGTTCGAATCGAGCTGATGGAAAAAGTCCACCAGTGGATAAGAATTCTGTTAACATTGTGATTGATGTCAATAGTTTGACATTTGGATTGTATAAAGTCATTTGAATGAGAACAGCTCTAGTTTTAACATCAATCCATTGTAGTTCATGAAGTAGAGAAAGATTTGTTTGTATATCGATTAGACTTCCACGAAATTCATAAACATAACCACCACCTGCATATGTTTCATATTCACCAACATACGGATAAGTGTCTAATTCATCACTTGATCGATATCGAAATGCTTTGAGAATCGATGAACTATATGTTCCATCAGTTGTTGTTGTTGTTGTTTCATTCGACCATCCTGGTTGATAAGAATGTTTGTCTTCATTGAAGATGCTATAACTATGTTCACATATGATTTGTAGATGTTGATCATCACATAGTTCTGGTTTGATTCGAAGTTGTCTGATAATAGCCCAACCAATAAGTCGATTAGATTTATCATTGAGAAAACCAGAGAGATATCGTGGTGTATCACCATTGTACCATTGTTGAGCACGAAGATTTGATAAAAAACTCTTTTCTAACCAGTTCCAATATTGATCAATTGTCAAAATCTACAATATACATAATCACATGTTGAACGAACGATCTAAGTAAATAAACAAACAAACCTGAGTATAATCGAGAGTAGTTTGTCGAGTGTTGAAGAAATACGAACGAAGATGTTTGACTTGATAGAAACTATTTTGTTCACAATTAGCATAAGTAATGACAAAGATCAATGTCGAAAAGATGATATGTAAAGTAAATTCTCGAATGATTAACCACATTTGAATATCTTTGAGACGTTGTTCACGGGCATCAGCAATTTCATTTTCACAAAGTCGTTTTACAGGTGTCTTTGTTTGAATACTAAACAAAGTGTCATTCTAAACAAAAACAAAGAAACAAATTCGAATTGTTTTCCGATATCTTTAAGATGGATAAATATGGAAATATTGTACCTCAGATGAATGAAGATAACCATCAGCAATATCATTGAACTCTATTCGATCATCATCAATGTATTCCTTTACTTCTTTGTCAGTTGATGAAGATCGACAGAAAAAGGCAAAAATCACTGCTAAAACTAAGATCTAAAACGAGATTCATGTGATGAAATGAAGTGAACGAAGTGAAACGATCTACTTTGATAGGTTGAGTGACAAGAATCGATGAGAAGAAACCAGTGAGAACAGATGTTAACCACTTTTGTGTTTTCACATCACCAAATTCAATACCTCGTACAATAATGAAGAAGATCGAAACAGCGATGATCATAAATGAGAGAGTGTAGGCAATGAATATACACCACCAAGGAAATGTTTCCGATGTTGGTTTCTTCTTTTGTGTTGTTATTTGTTCGAGATTTGTAAGTCTAAAATAGAATGAGGAGATGGAAGTTTGATGTGATATATAAAGATGCACAAACGTTTGTCCAGATGTTTTGATTTTGTACAAAGTTTGTTGTAATGGTGAGATCTGTTGTCGAGATCGAATTCGACGAAAGAATTGAACAATGAAAAGACTTGGAACTAATGTCAAAAGTTCGATCATGACACCAATTCCAATCTAATGAATCATTCGAAAGAGGGATGTGAACATATTCTATAGATGATAATGATCATATTACCTGTTGTGGTGTAATGCAAAGTGGACCAATGGCTAAACCACTGATCTGTGTTGTATTGGTTGATTTGGCTTCATTTGATAGATCATAATACATAATATTGAGTAACATGGAAATGAAGAAGAGAACAAAACAACAAGTACATCGTTGGACACGTGTAAATCGATTGGAAGGTGGTCGAGAGAAGATCGAAAACCAGAGATGACCATCAGATGCACTATGATATGCTTTCTTCGATAAAACATAGGAAAAGTCTTGTTTTTCCAGTTCACCTTACTCGTCCATCATCTTTTTCAACGGCGAACCATCGTTGAGCAATGAAATAGAATTTGTTCATTGTTTGTAGATCACGAACAATGATATGTTTGAAATACCATGATGCTGACTGACCCTCACCTGAATTATCATGCCAAATTCGAATATAATTCAACAATCCCAATGATCTAGATCAACATATGGAAGAGATGATTGCAATGTGATCAGAATTCAACTAACTTTGGTACTGCCATGACAAAAGCATCAATCCCACCACGTTGCAGAACTTTTCGTTGTGGATCAGCTAATGCACGAATATCTGTTTGATCTTCATCACCTGACAACACGAAATAAACCTATCACAAACAAACAAATAAACAAAGAGAGAGAGAGAGAATTCCATCGTGATCAAAAGTGTTTGAGAAATGTTGTACTTTGGAATTTGTACCAGCATTTGATCGTTGACCAGTAAAAACAAGAATCTGATAGAAATATTGATCTTGTTTACGATTGTCGATCATCGGTGTCACTCCCAACTATTGAGAAACAACAAAAGATGTTGAATTGTAAGAATAATTTCGATCATTTACTTTTTCGATATCTTTCCTATCTTTGAACCGACTGTAGAGCAGAAGAATGACGTAGAGTATTGATGTGCAGATCATTGTCAAATAGATGGTTTTGTTTTTGGAGAAATCAGCATTGGCAAAAACATAACTCCAATTGATTGGTGAAGGTAAAACAATGAAACCACCAGCAAATGTTGTTAAATGACTAGAGAAACATTCTGTCTCATAATGATTTGTTGATGATCCAACCTTGTATAATTGAACAAAACAAACAAATGAAATCAACCAGGAAAACCTTTTACTTACAATCAATCCATCTGATTTCCAATTGTTATTTTCATCCAAATAATAACAACCTGATGTGTAAATACGCAATGCATAATCAGCTGTGAATGTGAAGGGTATGTCTGTGATTGGTAGAGTATTATTATTAAATGATGTATTTGTAGTTGAACAATAGTCATGCAGTTCCATTTCACTCAATTCTCGAATTCCAAAGATCAACGATAGATGACCTGAAGTTTTTTGATTATCAAGATAATATTTGTAAATGTTATCACTGTCTAACACTACAAAAGAAGACGGATGATGAGGTGAGAGTGAAGAGTTGATATGTGAGATAAATAGTTACTGGAAGGACAGAAGATCGTCCATCCATCGATGGATTTGATTGAACTATTGAGTTGTGGTGTTTGATCAAATTTATAGATGAACAAATAAGCTAAAGTGAGATTGAATGATTGAATTTCGAAATGAACTGATATGGGAAGTGAACTCGTAATGTTGATATAATGTAAACGAAATAACAAATGAGAAGATGATGAATTTGTTGATGAGTTGATGGATGTTGTTGTTGTTGTGACATTTTGAAGGTACATCGATGGAATGACAACATTGGGATCACGAGGTATGATGACTTTGATTGGTGAACTTGAATCAGTTAAAAATGGAATGTCATTACCATTATTATCCACAAACGTCAAGGAGACTGATCTCGAGAGATTCGTATTTGAGAAGTTCCCATATGCAGCAAGAGTGTCCATTTTGGACTAAATAGATGAACAGAGACAAATGTTGTTGAGTTCATCATGTTTATGAGAAAACAAAGAGTTGATTACTCGAAGTGAAATGGAAGAAGTGCTTGTTGTATTGAGAGTAAAATTCGATGGAAGATAAAATGCAGCAGATGAAGGCTGTTTGATGGTTTTGTTTGCTAATGATTCGATTGAAGTTGTTTCTAATGACATGAAGGTTTGTGATGTGTTGACAAGTGAAGTTTGACCAAGATTCAAGTGAACATTCAATGCAGCTGTGACTAGAGAGATGATTTGCGTTGATTGTATTTGAATTTGACTGGCCAGTTTCTGCTGATAGTAGATATTGCGTTGTTGTTCAATTGAAGTACTGCTATCAGCATTATCAGTTAACTGTGAGTCTTGAGAGAGAAAGAGAGGAAGTGAAAAATGATGATGGAGAAGTCTTACTGATACTTGACCATTCTGATTCGATATCTGTATCATAATCATTAGAAGAGACATCATTTGCTCGAGACATGTCCAGATCAAGTGAGATTGTACGTCCTTGTAATGGACCATTGACGCCCTAGATCAATCAAAGAATTGTGAATCAGCAAACTCACCATGTTGTCGATCTAGAAGAGAATGAAATACGTACTGTTAAAACATTTGAAGCGCATTGAGTGAGTTGGCTGGCAGCAGCTTGCACATCTTCGAAAGGAATCCTGCTCGCTTTAGAATTCAGTGCCACAGCTAGTTCATAACATCTTTCCGATACTAGTGTCTAACATGAAGAAAAATTTCGTTTTGTACGTTTAGTAGTTCATATTAACTTACGAGAGTTGCTCTTGTGAGTTGATTAGTAGACTGAGTCAGCTGAGTTAATGAAGATGATTGAAGTGTGATACTGTTTGATGTGGTAATGGCCAGATTGGATATGTATGTGACGAGATAATCTCTCAGACTTGCTTGAGAATTGAGTTCTTTGTTGTAATCAGCTAATCCAGATTCATTGACTGTTGTTTGAGACTATTGAAACAAGAAGAGATAGTTGGATGAGATGCAGTTTGATCTGTAGGTACACCTACTACTGCTGAACTTTGACTTGTTAATGATGCAACTGACACGGTAGCAGCAGATATCCCACCTAAAAGTATGAAACATCATCAACAGAGCTGTGTATTCAGTGTTAGATTATTTACTTGAGGTCACTTTTGCAACACTGGCATTCTCCATGAGATTGAGTTGTTGTGAAAATGATGTCAACACTTGTCCAACTATATTTTGATTTCCACTTGAAAGTAATTGAACTGTCGGATTGCCTGATAATGTTGTTGAAGATGAACTTATCTGAATACTTTCCATGAGTTGATTTATTGCAACAGTGTCGGCAATAACATGAACAGCTGACATGTTCACTTCGGTAACACAATCCAGTAGATCTCGAACATAGACAACGAGATTTAACATTGCCGTTTGTTCATCTCCAGCTGGTAATTGAAGTTGAAACTGAGTAACAGATGAGAATGCAATCATGACCATTTCTGACACATCGTTTTTCCAAGCTACAACCAACATACAAATGAATTCTATGTATTTCACAGCTCATCAACATACCATACAACGAATAATCTTTGATTCCATCTTCATCATACCAATTGGGACATATAACAGTGAACGAAGTTGACGTTGTTCCATTGTGAGGAGTGATGACACATGAACCGTTGGAAGGAGATTGATTGATAACAAAGTTCAATGCACTTGTGCTTGTCTCATTCGTGAATGTATAGACGACTTCAAATCGCCAAAGTTGAATTGAAGGATTATTGAGAAATAGTTGATCTGTTGCTGTGAAATTACTCATTTGTCTTCCTAAACTGACCCATTGTCATCTGTTCGCAAAAGTAAATTAATGAACTCTTACCGAAGAACCAAATATCGTCATATATTGTCATTTGTTGAAAAAGATTCCATTGAGTTGAATTAGCAGATGAATTGTCATCACCTCGATATATGTTCCAATGGATACTGACAATGTTTTGACAAACTCCAACACAAAGTGCATACAAAGCAACTTGAGTGGTTGGATTGACCACTTGGAATTCAAGATTCGGTGAACATAGAGTTGATATAACACAACTGAAAGGAGACAGCAAGGGAGATCGTGATACGAATGAAAGAATGAAAGTAGTGTACCCAATGACAACTAATTGTGGACGAGTATCTTCGACTGTAACAATGACATAGCCTGTTGCTTGAATAGAAGCATTCTTTTTATTTTCCATGTAGACCATGAACTGGTACATTTGATTAGATCGGAGAGTACCAGAGAGAATCGTTAATGATGATTTTGGTGATAAAGTCAGATTGCCAAAGATGAGACCTGTACCGTTGTCTTTAGTTGAAGAGTATGGAAATGAAATTTCTGGAAGAATGAATGAAGTTTACCTGATCGATTGGACAAACATGATGGATTCTGGGGATCAGTTTTTGAATTTTCGATTGTCAACAATTGACCTTGTATGTTTGGAAAATTGTATGAGCCATACCATCGACAATAGTACGCATATTTCCATTTCTAGAACACAATGGACATTTAATCATGTGATGAACTACGAGAATGGTGTGATTCACATACACTAGCGTCAAAAGAATCTTCGTCGGGATCGACTGAATATAAGCCTGGATTGAGTTCGAGGTCTTGATCATAACCACGTGTGATCATCGATGTACCCAATGCAACAGGATTGGCTGTGATGCCAGAGGGTGTGACCATGATATAGACTGTTGCAGATGATTTGGCACTTGGAAACGTTGCCATGATGACAGTTAAGACTAGTTGATATAATCCATAATCAAGAGTTTTTGCTGGAACATAGAATTCGCTGAGGGTTGTTTGAATCTTCTGACTCAAGTGAATTCGGTATTGACATGAGGTGGAAGTGCAGTTGCTGACTGTCCATTGCTTGATTGTAGAAAGAGAGCCATTGCATCGGAACTTAATCATTGAATTGATAGAAAAATCTTGATTTTTCCGGAACTGCAACGGCGATGTCAGAGATGATCCACCAGGAATGAGTGTGATTGCTGGTGGATAACAAGCTGAAAATAAGTTTGTAAGTTAATGAAAGTGTCGATATATTGGCGTAAAATGAGATAGCAATACTTAGTATGATGGATTGTTGTGTTGTTGGTAGATTTGTCGTGGACTGAAGTTCTTCAGTTGAAGTTAATTGATCTGAAAGAAAAGACGAGATTTAGATTAAGAGCGAGGATGATAGGAAATAGCCTACTCGTTGACGGCTGCTGAGTTGATTGTTCAGGAGTTGTTGTAGAAGTGATTTGGGTTGTGGTGGTAGTCGTAGTTGAGGTAGTTCTGGTCGTACTAGATGAGGTACTAGTGGTTGTGCCAGTTGAAGTAGAGGTGGATGTGCTCGTGCCAGAGCTGGTTGATGTACTGGTGCTAGTGCTGGTCGAGGTGCTGGAGCTAGTTGATGTGCTCGTGCTAGAGCTGGTTGACGTGCTGCTGCTAGAGCTGGTTGATGTACTGGTGCTAGTGCTGGTCGAGGTGCTGGAGCTAGTTGATGTGCTCGTGCTAGAGCTGGTTGACGTGCTGCTGCTAGAGCTGGTTGATGTACTGGTGCTAGTGCTGGTCGAGGTGCTGGAGCTAGTTGATGTACTAGAGCTAGTGCTGGTCGAGGTGCTGGAGCTAGTTGACGTGCTGGTACTAGAGCTAGTTGAAGAACTCGTGCTAGTGCTGGTCGAAGTAGTTGTAGTCGTCGTTTGTATGTAAGCTATAGTGATACATTAAGTTTTGGTATTTTTCATTATTAGACATCATCACTTACCACAGTTGCTCTTCTGAAAACTATACACTTGAACTCTACTGTTATTTTGATCAGTCACATAGATATTTCCATAACTGTCGAATGCCATTGTTTGTGGAAGTGATAACTGACTAGCACTTGTGCCGCTCGTACTACTACATCCAACGATACATCGATACCCATACAATCCTGATCCAACAATGCGATTGTTATAACTATCGACAATGAATAGGTAGCCATTAGTGTCAAGTACCACTCCTGTAGGACAATCCAGAGTGATCGTCGGTAATAACGAACTGTTTCCGACAAGCGTTATTCCACCTGTTGATCCTGATGACACACTTTGAATTCGATCATTGCCGCAATCGGCAATGTACAAGTTCGAGTTACTATCCACATAGATACCGTACGGCGAATCTAGCATAGTAGGATCAGATCCAGCAGTCGAATTTCCAATCACTACCGTTGGTGTGATAGTAGTACTGTTGAGCAGGACTTTTACAACTTGATGAAAATCATGAAGTGAACAATACAAATAGTTATTGATATCTATGAATAAACCAAAGCAAGTGCCATTAACACTCATGACTGTGACTACAGTTGACGAATTGAATAAAAACTTGTCAACTCGACCATTCGAATATCCATTGTCGATATAGATATCACCAGTCAACGAAACAAAGATGCCATGTGGACGATTTAGACTTCCAGAATTTTTTCCTGTTGGTGTGGTGTCGTATTGTGACCAGATGAAAATAGTGTTATTTGTTCGACTAGGAACATAGACTGAATTGATGCCATCGACAAAAATACCATAAGGTGATGCTCCAATGGTGGACATTGAAGTAAATGTTGTTGCATTCGGATTCCATATTGAATTTACGCAGAGCGTGGGTTGATTATATGATATGGCTAGAAGAAACAAATGATTAGTTCCAAAATTGAGTGATAGAGTTACTTACTACATGAGTTGGTTGCCAACAAAAGTTTTTGAACTCGAAGATTAGCCTGATCAGCGATATAGATATTTCCGTAAGTGTCAAAACTAAACGTTCGTGGGCTGTAGAGTTGACTTGCTAATGAACCTGCAACTTTTGTACAACCGAGCAAACATCGAAATCCAAACGGTCCCGACCCAATCAAACGATTATTATAATTATCGGTAATGAACAAATACCCATTTGCATCGAATGCAATATCATTCGGACAGTCAAGGGTAATTGTACCAGGTGCACCATTACCAGCTATAGTAGTTGCACTCGTTTGTCCCAAAGCAAACTTTTGTATTCGATCATTGCCGCAGTCTCCAATATATAAATTAAACTGATAGTCAACATAGATTCCACAAGGATAGTAGAGATCAGTTGCAGCCGCCGAGTAACCACCCGTGCCAGCTACTATGGTCTTTGTTGTGTCATTGGTGCCCAACCATTTCTTAGCAACTTTATGCCAGGCAGTGAGTGAACAGTAAAGATTGTTAGAGATATCAACAAATAGATCGCAACACTGCACAGTATTTGATATAGATACTGTGCTGATAGTATCATTTGGGCCCCATTTATCTACTCGAGCATAAGATAAGCCATTGTCAACATAAAGATCACCTGAACGTGTAGCAAAAAGGCTAAGGGGGCCATCCAATACATAGGTAAGATTTCTAGTTATAGTCGTGCTTCCTGCTGCCCAGATATTGACTTGATCACGCCACCAGTTTGCCACATAGATCGTGTTGCTGATATCAACAAACACTCCATAAACATATGAAAGGAGTAAGTTAACGTCCACGAAAGTAACAGCTTCAGTGTTCCAAGTGGTGTATGGACAAAAATTTGGTTGATTAAAAGAAAATGCTAGAAAGAAATGAAGAAGATTAACTTGATCAATGATACAATGCTTCCATGGATTATAAATACCCTTATACTTATTCAAGATCAAAACAGAGTACTTAGTCAGCTCAGTACAGATGCTGTTTTCTCCTCAAGTCTTGACATGATTTTTGTAATCAGACAGACTGTGTCTTGATATACTTACGATACGTCGTGTTTGGTTGCAAAATAAACTTTTGTACTCGACTGTTGCTTCGATCAGTTACATATATATTTCCATAGGAGTCAAAACTCATCGTTGATGGATTGTATAAATCACTCGATGTTGAACCAGAAGCACCTGTACATCCAACTAGACATCGAAAACCATATGGTCCTGATCCAACAATGCGGTGATTGTTACTATCCACAATAAACATATAGCCATCTGCATCGAAAGTCACGTCACTCGGACAGGCAAGTGAGATGGTTCCAGAAACTGACGCACTCACTACAGTTATTGCATTTATCTGTCCTGACTGGAAAAGTTGTATACGGTTGTTCGTACAGTCAGCGACATACAAGTTCAAAGACGTATCGACGAAGATACCTCGAGGATTGCAAAGTCTGTTTTGCGTTGAACCACAAGAACATACTCCGGCAGCCACATTCCACGTGGTGGAATTATCGTTCAATGATGTCACTGCAACTTGATGATAATCGTACAATGAACAATAAAGATTGTTGCTGACGTCAATGAACATGTCATAACAGGCACCTGTAACAGACATGACTGGAGTCTGGTTAGTTCCATTTGCTAAATATTTGTCAACACGCTTGTTGGAACTTCCATTATCGACATAAACGTCACCTGATGCTGTTACGAAGATACTATATGGAGCGCCCACACTAACGGTGATGTTACGAGGAGATATGCCTCCTTCTGGCCAAATGAGAATTCTGTTATTTGCTTTACTAGCGACATAAACAGTGTTGTTTTTGTCGACAAAAATACCGTAAAGATCAGCACCAACTGTAGTACTCGCCGCAAAGGTAATTCCAGTTCCGACCCAGATGGCATATGGACTAAATTTTGGTTGATTGTAAGGAATAACTAAAACAAACGTCGATTTCATGTTCTACAAATGAAGGTTGTTGAAAAACATATCAGTGAGCTGGCTAGAATCTGTCAACTTAATCTTCTTCTATTGGGTCTTTGCTGATGTTCAACGAAATTTTGTCAGTCGCAATAGAACGAAATGAATCCTACTCGATTCTCGAGTGCATATCGCCGGTCAGTTACATGACATCTTATGGAAAAGGGTAGTGAAGAATATATTTACTATTCGAAAAGGAGTTGAGTGTTGATGATGTAGTTGTTGGAATAGTGGTGGATGGCACTGTTGCTAAAATGAGATGTGCATTTTGTGAACAGAAAATTGGGGAGAGCATGACGATATACATACTAGTAGAAGTTAATGAAGTTGTTGATCCATCTAGAAGAGAAGCGGATTGTATTGCATTTATCTATTTTGTATGAATGATACTTACTACAGACATTTGTTGATAAGAGAAACTTTTGAACTCGATTGTTATCTCGATCGGTGACATAGATATTGCCATAACTATCAAAACCGAATGTTGATGGACTATCCATTTGACTGGATGCTGAACCAGCACTTTGTGTACATCCAGCTATGCAACGAAAGCCATAAGGCCCCGATCCAACAATACGTTGATTTTCACTGTCGACAATGAAAAGATAACCATCAGCATCGAGCGCAACATCTGTCGGAGTACTTAGTGAAATAGTTCCAGCAGCCGCAGCACCTGCAATAGTTGTTCCTGTTTGCTGACGATACAAAAATTGCTGCACTCGAGCATTGCTTGAATCAGCAACATATAAATTAAAGTTGACATCGACAAAGATTCCACGAGGACTACTGAATGTCGTTGTGGTCGATCCAGAAGTGCCGGTGCCTGCTACAATACTCCAAACATTCTGTTTGGTAGCTGTATCTAAAGTTTTGCCAATAACTTCATGATAATTGGTCATTGAACAATATATGTAGTTATTGGAGTCAACGAAAAGATCATAACATATGTCGCAGGTGAACAAGACTGGAGCACTACCATTGGAATTGAGTTGCCATTGATCGACTCGCTTGTTGGATGCACCGTTATCAACATAGATATTGCCATTATCAGTGACAAACACACTATATGGATTGCTCAAGCCATTCGAAATGTTGCTGATGGGTGTTGTACTTCCCTCTAGCCAGACATGAACACGACTAGACTCTCGATTTGCCACGTAGACTGTATTGTTACTACTGACAAAGATTCCATAAGGAGTTCCGCCAACTATGGTGGTAGTGGCAAATGTGACGGCTGAAGCATTCCATGTAGCATTTGCACAGAACTTTGGTAGATTGTAAGATATGCCTAAAAGAAATCAATTGTAGAGTATATATTTATCTGTTAAACAACATACGATGATTGTAAACATCACTCTCACCTGTTCCAAGAACGATCATTGATAAAAATAATGAGCAAGTGAGCCAATTGAATATTGCCATCTATCTATTGAAAAGGTAAAGAATTAAGTGAGATCAGACATTCTATTGACTTCTAAACGATGAAACTTTTAAGAGAAAGACAAGCTCAACCAGAACATCTACACATATAAAAGATATTTATGTGTTTATGCTACTTCTGGATGTCTGATTTCTATAAGAGAATACTTAGAGTTTAACTTATATCTTTCTCAACATTTCTTTACTGAATGAAAATAGTTTAGTTAATTAAATCTATATCTGTTTCATATATTCCTAGTTGTTCTCAACCTATTTTCCCATTGCTGATACCGACTAAAATACAAAAAAAGTTCTTTTTCTACCCTTAATGTATATGAATACAAATGCATCAGCATTATGAACATTAACAATAGGCAAAAATATTTTTCTCCAATGCCAAAAAGTAATAAAAATAATGTAAACTATTTACCAAGTGCCTCGGCTTGATGTTATATACTTTTATTGCGTGCACATTCATCAGGAATACCTAGTTACAGTCTGCAGCACCAGTTTTGAATCACCTAGCACTTTAGATGAATTAAAAAGGTTCTCCATCTCAAACGAAGAAACAACGATGCACTTAAGCATACAATGTCTCCTCAGTTTTCGTATCGGTGTACATCGAATTTTGACGTCTTTTCGAATATAGTAATGTACAACAAAGTATCCCATTTATAGTATTTTAAGGAGAATATCTGAGATTTTGAAAGCTTATTTCAGTCGGAATTATCCATGGTTTGGCAACTTTGAATTCTGAACAAATATCAACTGTCCACAGCGCAACGATTGAAACTAATACACAAAGTCTCATATATTAGAATAACGTTAAAATTTCAAAAGACAAAATTTATCGTGCATACATTCAATTTTGCTAATAAAAAATCTTTTTCCGGTAAACAGGTACCATCTTTTATGTACTTGTACTGTAAAATAATAATTTTCTATTCGTTGATTACTAAATGACGTTCATTCTTTTTGTGTAAGTTCGACTGACGAGGGAACATATTTAGGCGTTCAAGCAATTTAGATCCCATCTTTTGGTGTGTTAAGTAGACCTCGATGAGGTATGAAAAATCTCAAAAGGATTCATTTCCTCGTGTCTTTGTTCCCGAGTTATAACTGTTCTACTCTATTCTCGGCTTACTGCAAGGCATTTTGATAAAATTCTGATGACGCATTTTTTACTTGAAATTATGCCCATTAAAAAGTCTCATTCGCACTAGATTGTTCTATAAATATCAGTTTGAACGAATGTCTCCTTCTCCAGATAAACGACTTTTAAAAAATCCAGTATGATATCAATCGTTCGAAAAAGACTGATCTGTCTTGGAAATTCATTATCTCGTGAAGGAGACATTCGTTCAAGCTGATATTTATAGAACAATCTAGTGCGAATGAGACTTTTCTATGGGCATAATTTCAAGTAAAAAATGCGTCATCAGAATTTTATCAAAATATCTTGCAGTAAGCCGAAAACAGAGTAGAATAGTTATAACTCGGGAACAAAGACACGAGGGAATGAACCCTTTGAGATTTTTCATACCTTATCAAGGTCTACTTAAAACACCTAAATATGTTCCCTCTTCAGTAGAATTAAATTGGAAAGATGTTGAATTGATTGTACAATTTTCAAATGAGTCTAAGCATATCTTGAATGAATACAAATCATATCGTCATAAGTTAAATACTTTAGAACATTTATGCTAAGTGCAACCTTCGTAGATGTCGCTGATGTATATACATAAACCAACTGCATAAACGTATTGCTAATCTTCGAGGACAAAGACCAACACATGAATTGGTTGGTGGTATATATTGTCTGTCAACTTCTTCCTGTGGTTTAATTAATCACAATGTGTCTATATATTGATTGAATGAACGATGATAAAATCTCTCCTTGCTTTTTTTAATATACCTCACCGTGTTGCCTTTCTCGCAATCATTTGTATTCTTATATGTCTTGTACAGCTCGCGCTTATTTCACAGCTTTTTTTCTTCGACTAACGCATCTCAGTTTTCTTCACCTGCTCCGACACTATTGAGTTGTGAACGTAAACTCGTTTGTAGAAATAATAGTACGCGTTTTTCTATTCATATCGATCAGAATGCACAACATCCGAATGNAACAACGGCAAATAGAAGTGTACATGATATACTTCAGAATACCAAATCACCAACTGAGTAAGTTCTTTGCGTGAAAATTGAAGAATAAACAAAGGACACTTTCTCGTTTTCTAGTGGTTTGCCACCAACAACTTATACCTATGCTCACAGGTTTGTATTCAGTTTTAATTAATACGTTGATAATAATGCGTCGTTCGTCTTTCTTCTGTGTCAGTGATCATTATGTTTCGGAGATATACGTATAGATTATAGTTGAGCATTAATCTCTAGTTTGTGTGATGAACTCGATTTCGACGTGATTGATGATCTCTTCATGAGCCGAATCTGATAGAGTACTGACAGTTCAGATCGAAGCAGATCGGTCTTGATAGACAATACACTCTGCGTTCGTCGTCCTAATTGATTTCATAATAAACAGGTGATAACATCAATGAGGGTGAACAAATGTACTGAGAGTAACATGAAATTTTGATGTAACGTCGAATTTTTTCGTTCATTTAGTGTATCTTATATGCCCGTGACGCAAAATGGCTCATATGATGTTCCCGTTATGGCTCGTCGTGATTTACATGGTGATTATCCTGCCTATGGATCGCGAAGTTTTTCTTCAGCATCGTCAGCAATTTCGTCGCCGGGAAGATTTATTTCAAATGTACGATCTCAATTAGTGAATAGTTACTCTGCTATCCGCGATCGGTTAACACATCATAGCAGTCAGGATCAAGCAGCACCGATCTTGAATTCTCCATCGTCGTTTGGTGGTTCACGATATACACGTTCATCGTCGCAATCATCAACGAATGCCCAATCGGGAAACTATAATCTTCGCCGTCGTGGTACTCCTGTTCACTCAACACCTCGTGATGTCGATAGTGAAGAACGTAAAATAACGAGTAAACAACGAAAAGAAAGAAAAAGTCAAGATAGCCAGCATGATTACGAGGAAATTAATGAAGATTATGGTGGAAAACATGAAAAAGAAGTGAAGGAACAAGAAGATCAAGATAATATTGTTGTTCGTTTAATCAAAAGAATTATTCGTTTACCATTTGATATTCTGAGTTTTGTCTGGCATAAATTCTTCAGTTTACCATGGTGGATACTTCTTCCGCTTCTACTCTTTCTTGGTTTTTATGCTTGTAAGTCAATAATTTCGTTGATTTCCATTCGTTTTGTTTACTTCAATTCTTTCTAGTTCCTCATCTGGCTTGCAAGCCATTTGAACATTATCCGGAATCAAAACTATATCAAGGTTGTCGAAGATTTCAAGAATACGCCGATAATGTCACCCGTCAGTCAGTTCACTTTGTCGAAGATCAAACGTACAATCGTGGCGGTCGTGTATTACAAACGATTTTGACGACGACGAAGAATGCCAAAAATACAGTTCTGAACAAATTCGACGATGTGTATTATGGTGTGAAGAAATTTTTTCATCGAAAAGTTGACAATGTCAAAGAAACTGTTGGTGAAGCAGTTGAAACAACCACAGACAGTGCTAAGCAATATTGTGAGGCTGGTTTACAGAAAGTCAACAACTTAATCGAAGAATTCAAACGTGAAAAAGAAAAATATCTTGGCTCCGGTCACGCTTTGAAACCTGCTCAAGAAAGAGAATTAGAAGCTGTAAGTTGAAATTATTGTGGAAGGAGTGTTTGAAAAAGTGTCTCTTTAGTTAATTCGATTGTTGCTCGACGAATATGCAGCCGATGAAACTGGTCAAGCTGATTATGCACTCGAAGCAAACGGTGAGTGATTGAGATCGATAAAATATCACACGCAGTGGATTTGTTTAGGAGGAAAAATTGTCGATACCAGATGTACTGAGTATACCGAAGAACCGCGTCAAAATGTTGTGAAATTCCTCGGTATTCCAATTATACATATGTCAAAGCAGCCAAATATTTTGATCAAAGTTTGTGCTTTTCTCTCGAAGAAATTGTTGAACTCTCTACGATGTGCCTTTTATTTAGTCGGGTCGTATGCCTGGTCAGTGTTTTCCCTTCAAGGGTGATCATGGTAGTGTAGTAATCAAGTTAGCAGTGCCCGTGAAACCAAAAGAATTCGTCCTTGAACATTTAACAAAAAGTATTTCTATCGTTGGACATATCAATAGTGCACCAAATAACTTTACTGTTTATGTAAGTTCATGTTTAAGGCGAAAGATTCGGTATTATGAAATTGTATTTTCTAGGCATTGAAAGACAAAAGTGATAAAGAAGGTATAGTTCTCGGTCGATATTTTTACGATGCTGAAAATGGTCCATCACTTCAACGATTTAAACCTCAAGTAAGTTTCGAGTTAGTCATGTAGTCTTCAATCACGATATGCTTCTTTCAGCTTGTCAATGTTCCAGTTGTGGAGTTTATCGAAGTCCGAATTACATCGAATTGGGGTAATCCTAATTATACCTGTCTATACCGGTTTCGTGTTCATGGCGATTTACAATCGATACAACCATCAGCACCACCTGCTGCCTAAATTGCATTATTGTTTTTCTCGTCATTTCCTAAAAATGATCTTAAACATTCGACTCGGACCATTGTCACGGTCATTCATATTGAATAGCGTGTCTTGAGAAGAGTTCTTTTTGTCTTCTTTTGTTTGTTTCTAAACTCGCCTAGATTGTGTCTTTAGAAAGTATATTATAAAGATCTTTATGAAATATCAATTTAGACATTCTTCTTTTCCCCCACTTTTTTTGTTTATATGTACGTCTGTATGTGTGTGTGTATTCATTTGGTTCAATCTCGCTTCTTCTGCTTGTTCTTTTTGTGTAATTGGCGGTGTGATTCTTTCCTTTTTCGCTAGGTAACATTGTCGAAAATAAAAATCTAGACATTTCTGCAAATAACAAAAGTAAACGTCACCGCTTATATGGCAATCAAAACAAAATGACCCCATTTTAGGTAGATTTGTGAAAATAGGTCAAATACTTGAACTGCACAGTTTAGTTGAAACATGAATAAGTGTGAGTTGTTTTTTAAGTATGAATCATCATCGATAATATGTCGACATTTCTTTCTTTCACCATCGGCGTTGGTACGAGGCAATGCAACGTCATTGCACAACGCTATTGCAAATAGACACGGAGAGAGAAATATAGATTTTTTTCTCTGGTTTTTTTCAGTGGGGCAAACTTGCACAATCCTTTGAAACAAAGTATTTACCATCTCTCATGTAATATCTCGTTCACCACTCGTTTTTCTTCACTTTTTATAAGTAGGCATTCATTTCACACAAATTCTGTCTAGATCGTTGTTGATAATACACCATGAATCCTTCTACTACAACTACAGCTGGCAAAAGCAATACCGGTCCGGTATATCGTATACCACCGTATCATTATATTCATGTGCTCGATCAAAATACTAATGTGACACGTCTTGAAATTGGCCCAAAAACATTTATCAAACAAGATAATGAAACCGTTACCATTGGACCAGAAAAGATGATTACCGTGCCGTACGTGAATCTTTGTTTTCTCGATAATAAACGACAGAAAAAGTTCATATTCGAAATTTCTTGTTTAGACCACGTCATTACTGCGTTGTCGAATCACCAGTAGTACGTAACGAGGCCGGCGAAGTTGAATTCGATAAAAATGGTCAAGCGAAATTGATTCATGCTGATTTGGATATTCGTCTTGCAAGTGCAGACCAAGCACCCTTTCCACTCTACCCAGGAGAAGTCCTCCGTCAGGTATAGAGAAGAATTAACACCGTTGTCAAAATACGCATGACTATACCTTTTTTTGATCTATTTTGTAGCCGGTAACTCCTTTGAAAGTAGTACCAGCCAATTCAGCATTACGTTTGAAAGCTGTTCTTGATTTCGATGATGAAACAACTAAAGAACAACGTAAAGCCGGTGACGAATGGTTATTCGAAGGACCAGCCACTTATATCCCACGAAAGGAAGTTAGTGTGGAAGAACAAATTCGTGCTACTGTCATCGGTTCCAATCAAGCCATTCGACTCTGTGCTAAAAAAGAAATCACCGATCGAAATGGCCAACGACGTGTTACCGGTGAAGAATGGTTAGTAAAAAAGACTGGTGCTTACCTACCATTAGCATATGTAAGTTTATCTCAGAGTGCTACCTCTTACGAAGTTTACGTATCGTTTTAAATTCTTTCAGGAAACCGTTGTTTCAGTCGAGAATGCCTATGTTTTAACCGATAAGAAAGCTCTACATATTCGTGCATTGAAAACTTTTACTGATGATTTCGGTAAAGAACGCATGAATGGTGAAGAATGGCTTGTTACACATACAGATACAGAAACACATATTCTCAGTGTCTATGAGCAATTAGTTGCTGTCGTTGATGTTATCACTCTGAATTCACGTCAATACTGCGTCATTCTCGATCCTGTTGCCGATGGCAAGCCACAATTGGGAAGAAAGGTATGCGCGCTGCATCAAATCTCCGACAGTGATGATGAAATGTATTATTTTTCTTTTAGAAACTTGTTGTTGGTGAAAAATCCTTCTTTCTTCAACCCGGCGAAAAACTTGAAAATGGTATTCAAGATGTTTACATCTTAGGCGAAGACGAAGGTGTCATTCTCAAATGTATTGAAACATTCGAAGATCAACAAGCTGGTACAACACGAAATCCTGGTGACCGATGGATGATTCGTGGTCCAACGTAAGAGATTTCTCTATCCAAAATATAGAAATCTATCCTAGTTTTTCGTTATTCTAGTGAATATATTCCTCCCACACAAGTCGAAGTGCTCACCCGCCGCAAGGCACTTCCATTAGATGAAAACGAAGGTATCTATGTTCGTGATATCAAAACTGGCCGTGTCCGAGCCGTTGTCGGTGAAACTTATATGCTCACACAAGACGAAGAACTTTGGCAAAAAGAATTACCAAAACAAGTCGAAGACTTATTATCACGTGACCCATTAGCTGAGCGCAATGTTCCAACGCGTAATCAAGGATCAGATAAATCTCAACAGCAAGGCACTACCACTCAAGCATCGGGTGCAAAGACAACCAAACGTGATAAATCCAAACTAGTCACTTACCGTGTGCCACATAACGCCTGTGTCCAAATCTATGATTATAAAGCGAAGAAAGCACGTATTGTTTTCGGTCCTGAACTCGTTATGCTCGGCCCTGATGAACAATTTACATTACTTTCATTAAGTGGTACTGTACCGAAAAAAGCCAATCAAATTCAAACATTATGTTTACTTCTTGGTCCTGACTTCTTTACTGATGTCATTGTGATTGAAACAGCTGATCATGCTCGTCTTTCCCTTCAACTTTCCTACAGTAAGTCTTCGCGATTGAAACATATTTGAACCCTTCTCATGTTCTTTTTCTCCATTTCTCTAGATTGGCACTTCGCTGTTCACGATAGAAATGATGAAAAAGAAGCGGCTAAACTTTTCTCAGTTCCTGACTTTGTCGGTGATGCAGCTAAAGCAATCGCTTCACGTGTTCGTGGCATTGTTGCTGGTACACAGTTCGATGATTTCCACAAGAGTTCAGCAGAAATCATCCGTGCCGCAGTTTTTGGTCTTGATGCTGATAAACGCGTTCGCGATCAATTTGTTTTCCCTCAAAATAATCTCGTTATCACATCCATCGATATTCAAAGTGTCGAACCTGTTGATCAACGAACACGTGATGCACTTCAGAAGAGTGTCCAATTGGCTATCGAAGTATGTTGCGAAACAGAAGATTGAATTGTAGTTTGTAAATGATGATGATGTTATCGTTTAGATCACAACCAATTCACAAGAAGCTGCCGCTAAACATGAGGCTTCACGACGTGAACAAGAAGCCAAAGGTTTATTAGAACGACAACGTATTAAAGACGAAGCTGAAGCTGAAGAAGTTCGTAAACAACTTCTCGAATTACAAGCACAATCAGCTGCTGTCGAATCAACTGGTCAAGCTAAAGCTGAAGCTCAAAGTCGAGCAGAATCCGCCAAAATCGAAGGAGAAGCTGCCGTCGAACAAGGTAGAGAAAGATTTTTTGACCTCTTCTCATTGCTAATTTCTTCTGTTGAATAGCTCGTCTCAAAGCTGAAGCTACTCGTATCGAAGCCGAGGCTGAATTATCACGCTTGAAATTAGCTCGTGAAGCTGAGATCAAATTTGTTCATGATCAAAATGAATTAGAAATTAGTAAAAAAGCTGAAATGTCACGCATTGAAACAGAAAAATTCAAATTACAAGTCGAATCCATTGGATCGTCCACCATTCAAGCCATTGCTACCTCTGGCCCAGATACTCAAGTCAAACTTCTTCAAGCACTCGGTCTTCAATCAATGCTTGTCACCGATGGTCATACACCGATCAATCTTATGGGATTTGGCCAAGGTCTTCTGGGTGGTTTAACCGCAAACACCAGCCGAAATGCTGGAGCATCCCGAAACACTTCAAATGGATATCAAGTCGTCGAAAACGAATAAACCGGTGGGATATTGAGAACTTCGTGCACTTGTCTTCATGTTATTTTATAATAAAACTTTTAGTTTGATTATTTTCTCCTTTCAAGTTTATGTATGAATAATAAATCTGACAACAAAAACTAAACACATTCTTTCGCTAACGTATTGTTTCTCGATTGTTGCTAACATTGTTCAATCATTTTCGCGAAGACATAATAGAGAAGGTTTCCCAGGTACTACGAAAAAGTAGGAGGAGCTCGCACACCTTATCCATATTCTCACATCGTGGACTTTGTAAAGGTGAGAATGAGGTCATTTGACGAGGGTTCGAAGTTGAGAATGAATCATAGTGCAAAAAGCGAATTTACTAAACTTCGACGAAGAAATTAGTTTGCGCAGTTTTTTTTCTATAGAAAGACATAACCTAATAGTGTTGTTCCTTGCTATGCACGGCAGAGATATAGGAACTATAGACACAAACACTTGACGTCTGAACCTTTTGCGTTTTTTCAACGTATAAGCCTTCAGATATAAATATTTTTTCTTTACACATCAGTCACCAAATCTCACGGTTAATCAACCGACTTCGGATCGATCTTCTATTGTCGTTCTGAACACTTTAGTAAAAATATGAAATTTAACGTATGTATATATATAGTATTTATTTCTTAAATGATGCTTGAAAACAAAATTTTCTATAGGTTACACAAAAAGGTAAGAACTGTCACAATGAACTGTTGGATTTTGTTTTTGAAAAATCTGACGGCACTCATATGGGTTTTAGTTGTTTCCATGAGTGCTGATTATTGTTGCACAGCTGGTGTTCCAACTAAATCAACAGCTGTGTTGAAAAGATTGATTGGACTACGTCCATCAGTGATCAAAGTTGATTTGATACCAAGTGCTTGAAGAAGTTTGACCTAAAAACAAAGGTTTTCATAAAAAAGATCAATTTGAACTCCAAAAAGCAAAGTCGTACTTGATTATCAGGTCCGCTTGTTGCGATTGCTTGTATGGTCTTAGGTCCAATAGCAGAAACATGTTGTTTGAATTCTTCAGTTTCGATATCAGCTAATCGTTTGGCTTTTTCAATTTCAAGATCAGAAACTAATTTCGAATAGCTCAATTCCAATTCACGAGCTTGAGTTAATCGATAAAGTTCGATGTCAGCTTCGATCTTAGCTGCTTGGGCACGAAGTGTGGCTATAAAAAAGGAAATTATGTTGTTTAATAATTATTTAACAAAAGAATGTTATCATATTACCTTGTTCAACTGCTGCTTCACCCTCGATTTTAGCAGCTTCAGCTCGTGATTGTGCTTCAGCACGCGACTGACCAGTTGATTCAACAGCAGCTGATAGTGCTTGGAGTTGCAATAGTTTTCGTCGAGCCTTTTCAGCTGAAAAAGAAAGCAATAGATGTTTTCCCGTTCCTATTTTTAATCAGGTTCAATTTTACCTTCAGCTTCATCGGTAATCTTTTGTCGTTCCAAATGACCTTTGGCTTCTTGTTCAGTTCGAGAGGCCATATGTTTAGCTTGAGCCTCTTGTGAATTGGTTGTGATCTAAACGATAACATCATCATCATTTACAAACTACAATTCAATCTTCTGTTTCGCAACATACTTCGATAGCCAATTGGACACTCTTTTGAAGTGCATCACGTGTTCGTTGATCAACAGGTTCGACACTTTGAATATCAATTGAAGTTAAAACCAAGTTATTTTGTGGGAATAGTAATCGGTTGTTGACTCGTTTGTTTTCATCAAGACCAAATACTGATGTACGAATGATTTTAGCTGAGTTCTTATGAAAATCATCGAATGGGATGGCGGCAACGGCACCACGGATCTTTGCAGCAACAGCTTTGCAGAAATCTCCGATGAAGTCAGGGACTGAAAAGAGTTTAGCAACTTCTTTCGAGTCATTACGATCAATAACCTACAAGTAAACAAAACCGTCAATGAAATCTAGTTTACTGGAATATATTCTTCTTACTTCGAAGTGCCAGTTATAAGAGAGTCGAAGAGAGAGACGAGCATGATCACTTGATTCAATGGTAACAATATCACTGGAAAATTCTGGGCCCAAAAGCAGACAGATAGCACGGATTTTGTTGGGTAATTTGGGTTTTTCACCAGAAAGATTCAAAACGGTGAATTGTTCATCGGGACCAAGCATAACGAGTTCAGGACCAAAAACAATACGCGCCTTCTTTAATTTATAATCGTAGATTTGTACACATGCATTGTGTGGCACACGGTAGACAACAACTTTGGATTTATCACGTGGTGGAACAGTTGTAGGAAGTCCTGCTTTATCTTCAAAGTATCGTGGATCTAATGTGATCAATTGTTCAACTTGTGCTGGTAAATCTTTTTCCCAAAGTTCTTCATTTTCAGTCAATAAATATGTACTGCCGATGACCGATCGAATTTTACCAGTTTTAACGTCACGAACGTAGATTCCTTCGTTGACATCCAATGGGATTGCTTTACGACGAAGAGCAACTTCAGATTCAACAGCTGGAATATAATCTTTAGGACCACGTACCATCCAACGATCACCAGGATTTCGAGCGATTTTCTATAAAACATCAAACAGTTTATTATGTATTGATCGATGGTCACAAGCTTACCCCATCTTCTTTGAATGATTCTGTGCAACGTAGGATAAGACCTTCATCTTCTTCAAGAACGTAGACATCTTGAATACCTTTAGCTAATTTTTCACCGGGTTGTAGGAAGAAGGTTTTTTCGCCCTATAAAAGATATTTAGATATATTTCTCTGTTTACAAGCTGGAACACGTCATACTTTAACGAGTTTTTTCTTTCCAAGTTGTGGTTTACCATCAGAACCAACTGGGTCAAGAATGACACAATATTGACGAGAGTTCAACACGGTTACAGATACAACACCAACAACCTATTAAATTCAAATTCGTATTATTTTCCAAAACAATGCTGTACGATCTACCTCTTCATATACGTCGGGAATGTAAGTTTCAGCATCGCTAGCATAGATTAACCATTCTTCACCATGAAGACGTTTATGTTTGAATGCATCTGTAAATGTGCGCAGTGCACGGACATGAAGTGCTTTCTACAAAACAAAGCCAAATATTCGTCGTGTGTTCTGGATCGAATCGTAATAGTAAATACATACTTTATCGGTAAGTACATAGGCTTTGACTGTTGAGACAACTTCTTCATAGGCTAATGGTAGGTAGGATCCGACTGTTCGGTTCAACCATTCTTCACCTGTTTCGCGTTCAATGCCATCGCGATCTGTCATTTCTTTTTTAGCACGTAAACGAACGGCTTCACCTGGTTTCAAGATGACTGCTTTGATTTGTTCTTCAACACTAACCTCCTTACGAGGAAGATAGGTACCTATAAGAAAGGGAAAGAATGACTGACTGACACGAGATGGGTCTTTTTCAAATCGTACCAGGTCCTTGAAAGAGAAATTCGTCTCCAGCTCGAATCTGTTTATCGTTTTCATCAACAAAATCCAAGACGGCACGAAGACGTAATGCACAATTAGGCTCAATGACTTTTAATGGTGTGACTGCTTGTTTGAGAACTTCTCCTGGATAGAGAGGAAATGGTTCTTGGGCGAAACGAATGTCAACATCTGAGTGAAGCAATTTCACTTGACCATTCGAATCTGTAACAACTTTGCCATCTTTGTCTCGAATGGCTGGATTCTCCACTACACAATAGTGACGTGGTCTAAACAGGAAAATACGAAAGAAACAAGATGACTATTTTCGATCATATTGAATGCGAACATACGGAATGATCAACATGCGTTCAGGTCCGAGAATGACCTTCTCATGATCTTGCTTGACGAAGGTTTTTGGACCAACTTCAAGTCGAGTGACGTTGGTATTTTGATCAAGTACATGTAAATAGTAGAAAGGAGGAATTCGATAGACTAAAGTAGCAAAGAACACATATAGAGTTTCGTATTGTATACATCCGATGACTGGTCTTACCACCGCTAACTTTTGAATCGGCCATAGTATGCTTCTTTCACTTTGCAACAGAAAAACGACAAGAATCTGCAAGAAAAATAACTCCTTTTATGTATGCGATTGTCCGTTTAGACAAAAAATAAGACATAGAAGGGTTAATTCAAAGAAGAAAAACATCTAGTTTTCACTCGATTGCGAAATGACATCAGCGGTAGTTGCCACCGAGCTTTGCAATACTTGTCGACAATAACCGTTGAATAAGGTTGATTCACGTTGTAAATAAGGACAGGAAAAGTAAAAGGGTTGTCGGAGAGTGAATGAGAGAAGAACAGGAAAAAAAACGGGGCCGAAATTTTATACAATATTACAATGAGATTGTGAAAAATCATGTTGCGTATCAGTCTATTACTATTGTGAAAAAGACATATTACGTGGCAGTTTCCAGCGATTGCAAAAGATATTTCGTCAGAAATATTCCTCTCAGCAGTTATGATTAACACGACTTCATTTTCTTTTGTTTACTCAGTCTGAGGTAAAACTTATATTTCATAGTTATTCACCATCGAGGCTTTGGTCTGCATTTTTTCCGTGACATCTGTAGATGTAGACTGATCGTATGTCAGTTTGAAATTGTGATAATGATAGTTGAATAGAGAAAAGATTAGAGATTTTCCACTGTACGAATACTCTTATATTGGATGAAATCAATAACAAATATTTTTCTTTAAACAAAAGCAAAGAACAACGTCTTATAAATAAATAAAAAGAAAATGTTAAGGCCATGATTGTATCTGCTGAAAGATTTGTCTACTTTTTATGTTTGTTTAAATAAAATTAAATCTGCGTCAGGGTAAATATCACAAATATTGAGACTAAACTTTGTGGATTGTTTTAAATATCTCTCCATGTTATGACTGGACCATTATTATTAGCCGAAGTAGCCGAATTTCCCGCTTTCTTCTCGATGTCTCGTGCTTCGTTGTACAATATCACCCCAAAGATAACTGTTAATGTACCAAAACCGCTAAGAAATGTAACTGGATTGTGAAAAATCAATACTGATAACCAAATTAACAATGCTCGTTTAACCGTATTAGCCACGCTAAAAGAGAATCATATGAATCAACATCAAATTTTAGACCTTGATACGTTACCTATGTGTTATGGGTGAAATATAGGCCATGACAGAATAAGCAGCGACCGATTGAATATGATATGAAATTCCATTGAAGATGTATAAAAGAAAAAGTGTTAGAGAAGTCGAACGTATCGCTGACAAAACAGGAACATTATAAAACAGTAGAGGCATCTGAAAAACGGATGCGACCAAACTTGCCCAAAACTGTAATTCAACAGCTGTATAACGATAGCGTTCGCCACTTATTAGCACTTTTGAATAGACGTTTTGTAAACTAAAAGGAGAAGGACTATTTTCTCTTTATCGGAAATCTATCTTTTCGTTTTACCATTCGAAGATGTTTGTTCCCAGGGCGCACAGAAAGCCAAATATATTGAAACTCAATTCAAATGAACTACACAGGCCAAGACCAATTGTGATTGGCACCATGGAGAATTTTGTCCAAATGCCCGTTTTTTCTCCTAACATCATCCGACTAATAATCACAGTGAACAAAGGCGAAGACGATTTGATAGTTGCCACAAATGAAACAGCAATGTGTTTAAGTGCAATTAAGCCAAGGATAACTGTAACACAACGAAATGCGCCGATAAAAAACATATCTTGAAAGATTGCCCTAGCAGTCGATGGATTCTTATGGATTTGTGTCGAGATTCTATTCATAATTTGCATTTGAACATAGCCTGTTATCACGGATAGAAGAAGTTGATTCATTCCTGAACGAATCGAACAAAACAAATAAAGTTGGTTCAAATGAACAAAATTTTTATGGAATACCTAATGAAAATGCATCGCCATTATAAGTACTTAGGATATATTTATTTGAGAACAGTGTTGCGGCAGATGAAACATACCAAATAACTAACGATGCAATTGCCATGGAGTTATGTAGACCTTGTGGCACTTCCATAAGAAGTCGTTCGGGCGACAGTAAAACATTGGGTGTTTCCGACACAACTCCGGTTAAACTCATGATCAAATTTCAGAAAATTTTCATTAGTATTAGTGAGTCAAATGTGGACGGTAAGAGAACAAATCGTATGATCGATTGCGGAAGAAGACGACGAATAGGACAGTATCCTATTGGTTGAAACAATTGATCAATCGTGTAAAATGTCAAAGATGGTGTTAAGAATGTTAAATGACTCAAATTTAGATTCTAATTGACCTCAACAAAATGCGATCACGAATAACAACTATTTTTCGTCAAAAACCGAAAGCATCCCTTTTTACCATTGGTTTGACTAGTAGTTTAGCTGCAGGTAGAACCTTTTTATCTGTACATATGACCATGAAATGTAATACTGCCCCATTTCTTTTAAAGGTTATCTTTTCAACAAATACAGACCGGTGGTTTATGCTGACACAACAAAAACTTCGTTCGTTATTGGTGAACGTAAACCATCTTTACCAACGTATAGCATGACTGAAGTAGCAAAGCATACAACGAAAGAAAATGGTATTGATTTCTCTAAAAACCAAAAACAAATAGAAATTTGAAAGTATATCTTTCCGGATAAGATTACAATGAAATTTTTCTTAAGGCTATTGGCTCGCTTATAAAGATGGAGTCTATGATATAAGCGCATTTGTTGAAAATCATCCTGGAGGAAAGCAAATTCTAAAAACTGCCGGCAAAGCTTTAGAAGCATGTTGGAAAATCTTTACTATTCATCAAATTGATCATGTTTACGAGATCTTAGAAGAATATCGCATAGGAAATCTTCCACCAGGTATCGTACAACAAGGAATATTTGTTCCTGTTTTCAGCGTCGAATTTTGTAGGTGAACGCGAAGCAAATGCGAAAGCTCAAGAAGATGTCGTTGATTTATTTCAATATGATCCTGAGCGAATTAATGCGACTGAAAACTTTTTCATTCGCTCGGAAAAGCCTTTCAATGCCGAAACAAAGCCTACAGTTCTCGTTTCGTCTTTTCTGACACCAATCGAGAAATTCTACGTTCGAAATCATATGCACGTACCATTCGTCAACATTAACGAGTTCAAACTGGAGATTGGCGATGGAACTTCAGCATATACTCTTTCCTACGATGATTTAAAAGATAAATACCAATCGCACACAGTTACATCTGCTTTACAATGTGCAGGAAATCGTCGTGCAGCTATGAATAACGATGCCCAAGGTTCTGTACAAGGTACACCGTGGTATGTTGGCGCTATTGGCAATGCTCGATGGACAGGTGTGAAATTACGCGACGTCTTGGAATCGTTCGGCCTACTCAACGAGGGAAGACATGTGCAGTTTGTTGGACTTGATTGTGATACATCACAAAGGTTAACGAAGCTTGTTTAATCGAGAAAATTGCAACGTATGCTTATTTCACTTTTTAGATGTTATGGTGCATCGATTCCAATGGAGAAAGCACTCAGTGATGATGTTCTCATTGCATATGAAATGAATGATGAAACTCTAACTAGTGATCATGGATATCCTCTACGTATTGTTGTCCCGGGCACAGTCGGGGCACGAAGCGTCAAGTGGGTCAATCGAATTATTGTTTCTAACGAGGAATCCGATAGCCATTGGCAAAAGGCTGATTATAAAGTTCTCCCACCCTCCATCAAGCAACCACAACAAGTCGATTATGATCGTGTACCAGCAATACAAGAATCAAATGTTCAATCAGCGATTTGCTATCCTGCATCGACTGAAGATGGGAATAAAGTGAAAATTCTTTCGGTTAAACCGACTGGTGAAGATACTAAAAATCAAACATTATCAATCAAAGGTTACGCAGTCGGTGGAGGTGGAAGGCAGGTGCAAAACGTACAGATCAGTCTCGATCATGGGTAAGTTAATTACCAGTTTAGAATGACCGAGAGACATAAATGTAAAAGAAACAAGCAAACACAACGTGGGTAGTAGAAGCGGAAAATAACGATCGTTTTCTTTTCTACTATCTATGGCGCATTAACCTAATAATACCGAGTGTCTAGTTCTAATGAAGAACAGTATCTATTCGTGTTTGTTATTATCGAGATTTACGCCTTTGAATACATAAGTAGCTGATATTTATACTTATTGTATAGGAAGTTCACGAGACAAGAACTTGTTTTTGAAAAGAATTTTTAATCATATGTATGTCAAGATTGAGTTCTTATTTTCTTTCTACAGGAAAACTTGGTTGCAAGCTGATCTGGAACAACTTGCTCAACCTTATATGCGTGCATGGGCATGGACTCTTTGGTCTACTCACATTCCATTGAAAGATCTCCCTTCGGAGCCTTTCGACATCGTTTGTCGCGCAATGGACATCCATTCGAATTCGCAACCTGACTCTCCATTAGGTATATGGAATGTTCGCGGAGTGATGAATAACTCCTGGCATAAAATAACTTTAAAAATTGATGCGAGCTTTTCGAAGAAAGTTACAAACTGAAAATTTTATTAAAATTTGACATAAATTTTAGAATATTTGATGATTGTAGTTTATTTCTGATATTACTTTGTAATTGTTTATCTATTACATCTAATAAAATCATGTAGATTAATTGATTGTATTCCGTCTATGGCATACAACATAACGAAAATGGAAATATCCTGAAGATATTCATAATAAATCTATCTAAGGAATAATCACGAGTATCCAGTAACCTGTAATCGTGAAGAATAGACAAATGCGAGATAAGTTCGACGTTAATAGGCTTTTCTAATTAAAAAAGTACGCCCCACCATACTGTTGAACTTGCTACTTACGAAGTGTCTCGATTATTATCATTATTGCGATATGTATACAATGTAGGCGGGAATCATATTCTCCTCGAGAGAGAAATGAAACAGAAGCCTGATTGTTCAGCGTACTCAGATCGCGTGTGCAGATTGAAGACATGCAAAATGAGTGGATTCTTATTATTTAGTCTTATAAATATGCAATACGGTTCGAAAAAATTGTTTCTATTATATGTTGTTTCATTGAGAATTGTTGTCCTTATATTTTATAAAATATAATGACATCAAATCTTGATTCTATTCTCTGAGGAAATGAATGACATTTTTTAAAAGGTGCTTTTAACAATGCACAGGAGTAGAATTCTTAAATCTGGTCAAGATTTCCAGAGAAAAAAAACAATGTGCGTCGGGAGAATGACAGTTTTGTTTTTCTGTTTTCTTTGATCTCATTTTGGTTGCTCTCTTTAGTGTGTCTCCGGTGTATCTTATTTAGAAAAAGCATTCCGCTCGATTGTGTTTATTAAAAGAGCTTGATTCTGTCCCCACAGTTCAAAACACAGATGTTTTTCTTAGAACGCCATTGATGATACATGACAGCAAGTACTTATCTCGTCATTTCGTTAATTATCGGTCGAGTCAAAAGTTTGTTACCTATTTTCTTGCACATCGAGCACGAATCATTTTCTGAGTAAGTAGATTAAAGAAAAAGAATATTGTAATGAAGACAGTTTTATCAACTACAAAATCACATAATCTAGATTACCTTTAATTCCGTTAGATTTTTTTCTCCGTCAATTAACCTCTTCAATATTAACGGGGTTATGAAAGATATCCCAGGTTATAACGAGTGCAAAGCATTATTTTTCTCTCCCTTATTATTATTCATAAGAGCATGTTTCACCTTCTCGCCGAGCAACTTGCGTAGTTGCAAACATTTCGTAACTCACTCTCGTAGTTATCAACGATTATCTCGACATTTTTAGTTCATCAAAGTATATTCCGATGGCGAATCTAACATCAATGACTTCTAATTACACCTCTCTATTATCAACTGAATCCAATCCTATCCAATTCTTCTTTACACACATCTACTTGCTGTTATTAGTAATTGCCGGATGTATCGGCAATGGTTTTGTTATTATTATCTTCGGCCAACGAGCCTTACGAACAACAATTGGAACAACGATGTCCGTATATCCGTTTCTATTCTACATGGCTATATCAGATACGATGTATTTATCGGTATTGTTTTGTTTATGGTTGACAAATTATATCAATATTTTACATCGTCCAATCATTTGTCAATCAAGTTTATACCTAACGTACGTTTGTAATTTTATCAATGCGTATTATACAGTTGCATTCACGGCTCAACGTTTATTTGCTGTTACACAGCCGATTCGTGTTTCTTACGTTCTCTCATGGTACCGATCACGTTGTTTAGCTTTATGCATCGTTCTCATTGCCTGTTTGATCTATTCGTACATTCCATTCATTGTTGGTATTGTCGGTGGATATTGTTATTCCTACGAAAGATTTCGTAAACTAAATGCGATCATGGATATTATCGACTGTTTGATTGTTTTCCTCATTCCGTATATGATGATTATAACCATGAATGCAATCATCTTGATATCACTACGACGAATGAGAAATAACCAGCATCAACTGTTGTTTCAAACGAACAACTGTCAATTGAAGAAGTTTCATGTTTTAACACGATGCAAAGCGTCGCGTTCAATGACCAAGTTATTGTTAACTGTCTCGACATCGTATCTAATTGTTTGCGCACCATATGCGTGTATTCATACATGGCGTCTACTGTCTAATGATGAAAGATTTCAAACGAAATTTTTTAAACAAATGGAACATTATTTTCATTTGATTTATCACATTTCATTTGCGATGAATTTTTATATTTACATTTTTTTCGGTTCAAAATTCCGACGAGAATTAAGACGATTTTTAATCAAATGTCAAATTAAAATGTCGCATTATTTTGAGACGATTAACGTTTATGATAATGATACGTCGATCAATCCGACTAATTCATTGAACTATGAACAATTTCAGCTGATCCGTCATCCAACAACATCATCAATACGTACGACAGGTAGTTTTACAATCGGATACCGATGGAAACAGCCACAACTATAACAACAACTCTCTCTTTCCTCCTTCCTTTCTCGTTGTATTGTATGTCGTTATTGATTCATTGTTCGAATAAAGAAATTCGAAACGCGAAATAAGAAATCTTATCTAATCAGTAGCGATCATCGATACCACATGAGCAATACAATTGATGATCGAAGTGGAGAACGAACAGATGCGCTTTTCTACAAATACGCTTTGTAAGTAAGAAAATTTCGTGATAACTACGGTATTCAACGAATTACAAAAGCTTCCTTGTATGAGAACCAAACGACGCGAGAGTTTATCTGCTTATCTATTGTATCGAGTTATCTTTTTTTCTTGCTGCATTTTACACCTACGGGCCAACACTTCTAGCTGATATTTAACTTAAGTTATTCAAACGAATAAGAAAACGACCCGAGTATATCTTCTTATCATCTATCTACACAGCTTCAGCGGTGTTGCATTTGTCTTTTATTTGATTTCATTTAGCATCTATTACAAGTTATACGAAGATGTCAGAACCTGCAGTAACTACTCCGCCAGCAAGTCCAACGCCGAAAGACGATGAAGTGAAGAAAGCAGCGACAACAGCTACGGCTAACGCGAAGAAGTTCGAAGGTGATGGACTTCCATTTCGAGCCAAATTAATCGGAATGGAAGATTTAACTGTGGATCGAGATGAAAAAATTTGCCTTGATTCGATGTTTAAATTGAAAGCTGTTGTGCGTGCCCGTGGTGAACATAAACAACGAATTCAATTGAACTTAACAATGACGACAGTAAAAGTCATCGATGAGACTACTAAAGTACGTTATTGAAAGAGAAATTAGATCGTTTCCTCGTGCTAATGTACATTTTTTTAGGCACAAATTGCTTGTCACGAAATTGAACGTATATCGTTTGTCGTAATTGATCCACGTGACACTCGAGCATTTGGATATATTTATAACACATCGGACGACCGTCATCAATTTTGGGCTATTAAAACAGAACGAGCTGCCGCAGCAACAGTACTGGCGTTGAAAGAACTTTTCGAGTTAGCTTTTGAGAAATATACGAATGACGTCAAACTCAAAGAAAGCGAAAGCAAACCTTCGGTAAGTGGATTACCTACCGTATTTATCATCTTGATTAATTTTTGTTTAGGAAACAACACCAGATAGTGCTACATCGCCAGTATTGCCACCACCAGTTAATGCAGGCTCGATCATTTCACCTTCAGCGGTAATTATCCTTGTCCGAATAGTTCAATTTTTCTAATGCCTATATGCTTGAAGGGATCACTTCTGGATGATAATTCAATCTGGGATACAACTCCGAGTCCAACGACACCACCTACTCAACCTGTTGTTGCTGCTACCGCTGCTGCTAGCAGTGGTCTAGACTTATGGGGTACAAACGACTCCACACCAGCTGTTTCACAGAATCAAACACCAAAAGCTGAAGAGGTAGGATTGAGAAAACTAGAATTAAATCATTCAAGACTTCGAAAAATTCTTTTCCTCGCAGTATTTCTTATCTTATCACATATCCAATGTGAAAACAAAGAGAGCTTTGACAAAAGTATTTTTATGCATGTGTCTATATTTAGTCTTTGGACAGCGTTTTTGGTGATCTTTCATTTACAACACCATCAGCACCATCAACAGCAACTACTGCTACAAACTCATTACTGGACGCATTTTCTACTCCCATTACAACACCGCAAGCACAACTACCTAATCTATATGGTAATACCTTTGCTACACCTATTCAACCGAATCCAATAAACACAATGCCGAATTATCTTCAACCACAAACGCAGCAACAACGCCCAATCACACCTACATCAATACTTCTTCAACCTCAACAATCCCAATTGAGTTCGATGACTCCTTCGCCTATCTCACCGACCCCTCCACCGCCGGTCACAAGTCCATTTGCTGGTCTTGATATTTTAGGAGGCTTCAATACCGGAGCAACAACTAAAACTACCAAAGAATCATTTTTCCCTTCAGCAGCACCCAAAACAATACAACAAATGCAAATAGAAAAGCAGGTTAGTCATCGCATACCAAACTAAATCTCGTTCCTAAAATGATCTCCTCTAGCGTAATCCATTTTCCTGAGTAAGTCTCCTCTGCACATCACCTGGAAACTTCACATTTGCATGTTTCCCTTTCACAGTTTTCTCACTGTTCTTTTGATTCTCCGTAAATTGGAATCTCATTATTTTGTTTATTTTTAGCCATAATCCAATGAATATTTATGACCAAGTCGATTCCTCCAATAGACAATATTTTTCTTTTCATTACATGTCATCGTGTGTATTTAAAAAAAAAGAAATAAATCCAGCGCACAATCGTAATAAGCACATAGAAATAAAAAAAAATGTGAATCATATTTTCGTTCTGTCCATATATGAAAGAATATCGCAGGGAATCTTTTTTCATACTAACATGTGCCCTTCAATGCGGATATCAGTAATCGCGTTAACGTAGCAAAAAACTGATTGTGTTATTTTTCTGTCACATAAACACTACGTTAAGGACGACTGAAACATGATGAAAAAATATTCGATTTTCAGGTAAGAAAAAGAAAGAGTATCACGCTTGATTAGCTTTCGGTGTAACAAATCAACAGCACATTGGTCGCGTTACTTTGTCGCCTACTCTTTTACTGAGTGAAGGCGGAAAACATACATTCAGATTGCAAAACGAGATGATTGTATGTGTTTTTTTAGTTTGTAGATGCAGTGGCAAATGAAGAATACGATTTGTGTTCTTTTGTTGATTAGTTCGATTCACTTCGTTTCTTCGCTAAAGAAACGGACAGAGTTTTCTGCACGTGAATTGAGAGAATTTGTCATTCTTCTTCATGAAGAGTACGGCGTTGAGTTTACAGAGGAAATCCTATGGAAGGTATACAAAACAAAGCCCGACATCGATGATTTGAACAAATTGAAAAAGTTTCGAGATCAAGTCGATCCGAAAGATCATGTCGATGTTAATTTATGGAACCAATTGAACAACGATGAGATCAAAAAGATGCCACAAATTAAAAGCTATGCTGACGAGGCCACTGCAGCACGATGGTTAGAATGGTTCACTCGAATTTCACAACGTTATTCTCAAGTAAGATTAAGAATTGAATGTGGATATATCGAAGTTTGCCTTAGATTGCTAGTTTACTTGAATGGAATTATGAAACGAATATTACATCCGAAAATGCGAAACTAATGAGTAATCAGAATCTGCTGATGTCCCCGTTTCAACGACTGACACTACCGATTGCAAAGAAGTTCTATGCACAACTGAAAAATTCGACAAACGAAGACCTGAAACGTGTTTTGAGTCGATGTGCACGAGGTACAATAAGTTACGACGATAACGAAGTTAAAGTAACCTCGAAGTTGAGCTCACAGTTAGAATCGATCTTCGGAACGACAACTGTTTGCGAATTGAATAATACGAAACAATGTCATACGATTGAACCTTATTTAACTGAATTGATGCAAAAAGAGAAAGATTATGACCGTTTGACATGGGCATGGGAAGGATGGCATGATGCATGCGGAATGAAAGTTCGACCTGTTTACCTGACATACATCGATTTATTGAATAAGAACTGTAAAGCAAATGGTTATAGCGATTTGTCTGTAAGTAAATCTCTTATACGAATACAGCAACACTGATCTTCTTTCTTTTAGGAAGAATGGATCGAGGACTATGAGATGGGAAATGCTACCGAATTTGAAGGTATATTGGATCAAATTCTCAAAGATATCACACCGTTGTATGAGCAAATTCATGCATATGTTCGCGGTCGTCTATGTGTGATGTATCCAAATAAATTCAATTGTAATGGACCTATTCCTGGTCATCTGCTCGGTAGATTCTTCTTACTAAGAATATCTTGTATTGTAAAGCTCTTTTTAGGTAACATGTGGGCTCAGAGTTGGGAATCGCGCTTTGATGATTTTATACCTTATCCAAATGCTCCAATTCCAAATATTACTCAAGTGTTACATGATCAGAAGTTTTCCATTTATCAAATGTATGAAACGGCTGAACAGTTCTTCACATCTATCGGTCTTTATCCCATGACACCGAAGTTTTGGGCGCGCAGCATGTTCAAAAAGCCGAAAGATCGTGACGTTGTTTGTCATGCCTCTGCCTTTGATCTCGACTACCATGATGACTATCGCACGAAAATTTGTACGCAAATCAACGACGATTATTTTTATACCATTCATCATGAAATGGGCCATATTGAATATTATATGTCCTACGACGAAGCACAACCATTTGTGTACCGTGCTGGAGCAAATTCGGGTTTTCACGAAGCTATCGGCGATACAATCGGCATGTTTGCAAGTAAGTTTCGCTTTTAATTGCATATAAAACTTTATCATTTTCTATGCAAACTCAAGCCTCTCCGGCCAATTTAATCAAGCTGGGCTTTTTCGATGGAAATGCTGTCAATGAACAATTTAAAATAAACTATCTTCTACGTCTAGCATTGCAAAAGGTTGTCTTTCTTCCGTTTGCTTATGCCATGGACAAATACCGTTTTGCACTTTTCCGTAATCAAATCAATCGTAATTATGAATTAAATTCCATGTGGTGGGCATTACGTGTCGAATATGGTGGTATCATGGCAGCTGTACATCGAAATGATGCCGTTCATTTCGATGCTGGGGCGAAATATCATATTCCATCGAATGTACCTTATGCAAGGTACTTCATAGCACATATTCTTCAGTTTCAATTCTATCGTGCACTTTGTCGAATCAAAGGACAAACAAAGGATTTGTACATGTGTGATATTTATGGCAACAAAGAAGTTGGACGAAGATTCAAAGAAATGCTAGCGATGGGTTCATCAAAATCCTGGTCGGACATTTTAGAACAGTTAACCGGTGAAAGAAAACTTGAGTCCAATGCAGTACTGGACTTCTTCAAACCATTATACGAATGGTTGAAAATCGAAAATGCAGCTAGAGGTTATCCAGTCGGATGGATGCCGAAATAAGATCATTGTCAACTTTTCCTCCTCATATTTTCATATAACTAAATAAATCATTTGCAAGATTTTCAAGATGATTTTTGCAACATCTTTTATTAGATCATGTGAGAAAGACCTGTACCACTAAACTAAACTAAACTGTCTTTTTGAAAAAAAAGAGCATCACCACCACAAAAATACTAGCCGGGTGGCCATTCGAGTTGTCGTCCACCGAGTACATGTACATGAAGATGATAAACACTTTGACCACCGTTCTTTCCGTTATTAATAACTACACGGTATCCATCTTCGTCTAAGCCTTGCTTTTTAGCAACTTGAGCGGCAACAACTAGTAGATGACCGAGTAACTAAACGAAGAGTCAATCTAGCATTGTTGTCCAATCAATGTCAACCATGTATACCTGTTCATGTGCTGGTGTAACCTTCGACAATTGTACGATTGGATCTTTTGGAATAACTAAAAAGTGTGTGGGCGCTTGTTTACTGATATCATGAAATGCAACACACTGATCATCGTCATGAATTAAATCAACTTTGATCTCCTTTCGAGCAATTTTACCGAAGATTGTATCTTCGGTGGGCTGTGCCGTTTGAGCTTTGGCTATCTCATCCGACATATTTATCTGAAAAACAAATTAGAGGAGATCTTTATTACTCGTATGTAATTACAATCAAAACGCAAAAAAGATCGATTTAAACAGCAGATTGACGATAATTTTTCGTTTCTAAAATTTTCACTCCACACATGCCACATATGCCTAATTTGTATGCACAACCTTGGCAATAAGCACTTCCCGGCTGATGAATTGTTGATTTACAGAGTTTACATTTGTTAAACTTTGTTGTATATGGACTGTATCTATAAGAGTAGAGATGATTAGAATGAAGTTATTGTTCGAAATGCAATATACCGAGAAGATTTGCCTGATAGCAATTTGTTTTCATTCAGTCTTTTACCACCACTTTCTATTAAAACGAGAAAACGAGTGAAGGATGAATTTAGAAAAAAAAACGAACTCTCGTACCGACGGTATTGCGTGAACCACCTAAAATATGAAAATCATCAATGATTAATAGTTATGACAGTTCTCCAACATACTTTTCCAAACGTCTTGAGTGGCGACACGACCAACTTTCTTTTGACCTAAATCAATATTTCGTCTTTATTTCAGGCAAATAAGCCGAAGGAAATACTTACATGCGTCACAAACCATGATTGTTATTAGGTAAACGAAATGAAATGAAACGACGATATTATATTCACTCTTCTCTTATGTACAAAACTCAACCAATAGTTGCCAGAAACAACCCGCGTCCTCTTTTGAACATAGATGGAGCTTGTTCTTGTCATGCATATGTATCTCACCGATCGATACATTGGAATTGGAAAACGTGTTGATGATCATTGCAGAGATGCATTATATACGAGAAACGAAAAAGAAAATATTTTTTTATTCTATATATGTATACGCAATAAGAATAACCAACAACATATGGAATAAATGAAGACAAAAGTATGTATAAAAGGGAAAGAAAGTTTCGCTAATAACATTTCATGTGTTTGCTGTTGAAGGTGGTGTTGGTACTTTATCTTGTGGTTGTTGATCAAGTGATAGAGCATCGAAATTAAGATTGTTTGCTTCCGTTTCATTTATTACCCCATCTGGATTACTTTTCTCGTTCGGATTCGTATTTTCATCTTCATCAGGTAAAAATTTTATTTGTTCACGCGGTGCCAATGTGTCCGCATCGGGTGGATATGGCCATTGATTAGCACGACGCGTTGATGGATTTTTAACACAAGCAAGACCTTGAAACACACGAACATTATCAAGAAATTCCTTGGGAATCTTCGGTGTTGGTCTAAAATAAGATATCCATGTTGACTTCATTCTTTGTTGATTTGTTTTTACTACCTGGCGATCGATTTCGTCCATTGTTTAGGCATATCTGACAAGAGTTTACGTGATGTTATTGGAATAGGTACACTCGACAGAGAACTCAATGGATCGTTGAGATCCCCTACTTTTGGATCAATTGGCTGAAATAGAAATATATTCAAATGTAATACACATCGAGATCTAATGCAGAATGAATACTACGTACTGGATTGGCAAATTGTGTCTCAACCGATTGATAGTTAAAACAACATTGTGGATCATTTTTATATAATAGATGTATAGTACCTAAAAATCAAACTCTCCAAACTATCGAGAATTTCAAGATGTCATTTACCTGTTGAATGACCGAATGCTGTACAATGCATACTAGTTGAAACACTAAATGTTGTTATAATACCAGCAGGATTAGTTGTTAAATTAATGATTGGTGAATAGGTATGAGTTAAACCACCTGTTAAATCAACTTGTGTATGGTGTCCATACTAGAAAATGGAGTTTTAGGATGAAATATTGCTAGAAATCATCGTTACTTGAGAGGCAACCATAACCGATGTACTTGTCATTGTATGATAATGAAGAAAACACGGATCGATATAAACCGGTACCGGCGCTAATTGTTGCATGTTTCGTAGATCGTAAACAACAAGAAATCGATCGAGATTCATATGATCCATTCTAGAACAAACACGAAGATTTCTAGAACAAATTGATATTTTCGATGTGTAAGATTTACTTTCGCGTAAAACCACACGTAACTAAGTACATATTATTGATATCTAAATCAGACAAACTTCCATGATGAGGTGTAAAACGTTGGATAACTTGAAGTGAATTCGGATCGCGTAGGTTCACGACACCGTTTGTTGAACCAGTTGCAATGAAATTTCGCGTACAATATTTCAATATGATACAATCACCCTCATCGACTGTCACCTACGAAACATCATCCAAAAAGCAAGTGTAATTTTCGTATTAATTCACATGATTACCTGACGAAGCAATGTTCGTTTATCAAAATCCATTTCACATAATTGTCCATTATAACCACCGACATAGATTTTCTTCTGTTTATGAGATTGTGGTATTAACATACACTGCATATTGTCAAGATAAGGAGCTCTAAAAGACACATCAATCCAACAAGTTGATATATCGCGAATCTCTACCTATGAGTGAAGACATTTAAACCTTGTCTTGTATACAATGAAAGTGAATCGGATGCGAGTATGAGCGGTCCTTGGGCAATCGATAATATACTTCGAATGTCGGAAGTTGTCGAAACACGAAAGCCGGTATGTTTTCGGAGTTCACAACCATAAAATGATGCCACACGTCCCTAATTGGACTTCAAAAGACAATTTCTCGAGAACATCATCAATCCTTACCTCATTACTGCCCGCCCAGAGTAACTCTTGAGTACTATCAAATTCTGTCGCTGTTATCGATTGTGCACTTGTTTGATTGTATGCACTATTAAAAAATGCCATGGATTCTGAATAATCCAATGCATATGGGGTGTCACCAGAGCCATCCATATCTGAAATTTTCTTCTATCAAAATGCGATTGATAAACAAGATGAACGGAAAAGTACATCGGGTAATCTGACTTTGAAAAAAAAAGAGAATGATGATATTTACAATCATCACAAGACGAAAACAACAAGAATAACGACAAAAGTCTATTAGACGTTTTCTTCAAACAAGTTAATATTGCTCTTCAATCGGATTTCCTTCATCGACTAGACCATGTTCAACCATCGCTTTCCGTCGAACTTTTTCGATCTGTTCCTTCTTTTCGATGTCTTCTTTCTGCAATTTCAGTATTTCTTCTATGGTTACTTCCACCAACGGAACGCGTAAAGGTTGATAGTAGTCTAATTCGCCAATGAACAGAACATTTTCACCACGGATAACGAATAAACCACGAGGGATATCTGCATAGTGTCGACCGACACAAATACGTTCGAATGCTTGATGAAGCACAAGATTACCTAAACACAATAAAACTCACAATAGAGCAGAGAATTCTTCATGAAATTTCCAACCAAACTGATCAAGACTGCGCAGGTGAGCGATCAACGTTCGACCATCACGTAACATAATCATCAACTGTTCTGAGCAAACATGTTCGATATGTAGCAAGTCTGTGAAACAATCACTTACTATCAATATCACCAACTAATGCAGCCATGCCGGATAGATAATAATCATCGTTTACGATACTTAAATCCATCTAAAACGAAATTGACTCTTTATTTCTTAAAATGACCAGGTAATTCATTTCGTCAGAGAGAAATTTGTGTATAAGTGTATGATAAAGCATAAAAAAAACGAGATTAAATTATGAGATAAAAGAGGACTTCTACATTCTCTAGGGAAAAATATATGATAAAGACTGAGTATTCAGTAGCGACTTATATCTCGTCCGTACAAATGCGTACGGATCCAATCAAATGCCAATAATGTCTTCGTGCGTCCTGTAAACATTTCGGTAAAATAAAATGACTTCCAGAGATAAGCAGCACTACGGCCAGATAACGGCTGTAGGTTGAAGAGATCAAGAATAGGTCTTGTACCAGTAAAATCTAACACAGCAGAATCGCTACCAACATAAGCCAATGAGCCCATATGTTTGTAGCGAAACGGTTTGAGATTATGTTGTTGATAATCGTTGACTGTTAAATTTGGTATTTGATTAAGTAGATCAGCAACGTATCGACCTTCCTGAGAGGCGACTTGAGCGGTTGCAGGTAGAGCGCGAATTTTTTTATCAGCTTTTTCGAGTGCCAAATGAAGTGCTGCAAGAGTCAGAAAACCTGATTGATCTTTATCAGCTTCTTGAAACGTTTTTTCAATTGTTTTCGAGAAGATGTCAAGCTAGAAGAAAAAAGCAGCAAATAATTCTGAAAAGTGAAACGAACAGGAACATTACCTGAGGAAACTCTGCCACTTTTCGTTCGACCAATAATTTAAATTGCTGAAGATCAAGCGCTCCTCGATGTTGCGTATCTGCTTCTTCAAATAATGTTTGAATTTGATCGACTAGTTTAGGTTGTTCAATGGTAGCACAGTCTCCAATGGCAAAGATCGAACCGTCTTCGACACCTTTGACACGTAAATATCGATCGGTCAGGATTCCAAAGCGGTTGCTTTGAACTTTTAAGCCAATGATCTCTCGAATACGATTTGTTAACGGTCGTGCCTTGATTCCTGTTGCCCAAACGACAACCGAACATGGAATAGATGTTAATTGGTTGGAACCTTTGAATTGTATAACAACTTCACGTTGTTTCACTTCTTTCACAAATGTATTCATGAGAACTTCGATATTTTCACGACGGAAATGTTTCTCTGTATAGTCACTAATTTGTTTGTCCTAAACGTAAATGAAAAGAAATGTTTAGGTTCTTAGCAAAAGAATCATATCAAACCATCATAGATAGGACATGATCAAGTGCTTCAATCAATGTTATTTTCACATCATTGGCAACAAGTCGTGGAAAATAATGGTGAAGATCTTCACGAACTAAATCAGCAAGCTACATACAGAAAACAAAGGTCACTTTTTTCACGATCGGTTGTGTATTATTCTTACCTCAGCAGCGAATTCGACACCTGTTGGTCCACCGCCGACAACAACGAAATGAAGAAGACGTTTTCTTTCTTCATCAGTTTGAGATGGTGTGTTGGCTGATTCGAATGCGTCACTGATCGCTGACCGTATACGTCGAGCATCGAGAACTTCCTTCAAAAAATGTGCATGCTCTTCAACGCCAGGAGTATTAAATGTGTTATTCTCAGAACCAATTGCAACGACCAATGTATCATATTTCATCTGAAATTGTGGTCTACTACGCGCTAAATTCAAACGAATGACTGACTCAAAGTTAGTTCATATTAAGCCTCTTGTACCTGAATCTTTAATTATTCGTGATGATGCACCCGCTTCACGTTTCGATGGTCTAACAATAGCTTTGACATCATCACCACGAGACACTGAATTCCCACCATCGCTATTACATGTAATTGTTTTTGATCTCGGATCAATATCAACGCAATCTGCTTCGACATATTTCACGCGTGGTCCAACTAATGAACGGATCGATTCTATTACTGTACGAGTTTCCACCGTTCCAACGCTAACGGATGGTAATAAAGGCGTCATTAAAAAGTAATTCCGTGGAGAGACACAGACAACTTCATATTTTTTGCTATCCAGGTGTTTTAACAATGGCACAGCGCCCCATCCTAAACAAGCTTTGATTTCCATTCAATCGATAACTCATCAATCATTTACCTGTTCCCAATACAACGATCCGTGGCTTTGAACCAATAACTTCATCCGACTCCGTTATTTCTTGATACCACCTATAGTTCTGATAACTACGATAACCGTAATAAGAACCACCACCCACAATCGTTACGATGAGAAGATTTCTTAAGCGCCGCTTCAGCCTTGCCCCTAGTCACATTCGAGAGGTAAGCTGAAGTCATAGGAAAATATTGTTTTATCCACATACCAAAAGTTTCCTTTACTGCTTGACCGCGAAACCAAGCAAGATTACGAGTGAGTATTGGCTTCATAGTTTGAATTTGTTTCAGCGAAATATTTCGAGATGCATTCTTTACTAGTAATTGTTGAAGAAGCAGATTCGACCGAGAAAACATCTTTTCTCGTTTCGCTGTACTATTCTGTTTCCAAAAACGGAAAACATGTATTCTGATTCTGTCTATAGACTCGATGATTTCGATTGGTGAGATGTGCACCAATGATTTCTTTTCACTAGACTATAGAGCCATCTTTAATCAAAAATAGAAAGCATCCACAAGTTCTCGAAAAGCCTTAATCCAGCAAGTTTCGAGAAAATTTGAAAACATCTGGTTTGATACAATTTATCGGATTGGTCAATTTTTTATTCGTTCATGTATATAAACACAGTCACTTCAAAATATTCATTGTTTCATTGCGTTTCAGGTTGGCAATAAGATGTATTCGAGCAATGACGAAGCGCAAATCGAAAATGATGATGATCGAGATATTACACCTGAACTTTGGCAAGAAGCTTGCTGGACAGTCATATCATCCTATTTTGCCGACAAAGGTCTTGTTCGGCAGCAACTTGACTCATTTGATGAGTTCATTCAGATGTCTGTACAACGCATTGTAGAAGATTCTCCACCGATTGAATTGCAAGCACAAGCACAATATACCCATACGGGACGAGATGCACCACCAAAATACACAATCAAATTCGGACAAATCTATCTGTCCAAGCCAATCCATCGAGCCGATGAAGGCACTGTTTATCTCTGGCCTAATGAAGCTCGCTTGAGAAACTTAACTTATGCAGCACCCTTATATGTCGATCTAAATAAAACCGTTTATAAAGATAATTCACCACCCGAAGAGAAAAAGTATGAGAAGGTACATATCGGTGATATACCCATCATGTTGCGTTCAGCATACTGTCTTCTTGCGGAAATGGCGGATCGTGACTTAACAGAACTCAACGAATGTCCACTAGATCCCGGTGGCTACTTCATTATCAATGGCAGTGAAAAGGTGTTGATCGCTCAAGAGAAAATGGCCACCAATACAGGTGAACATCAATCATATCTCTACATTTGCACACCTTTCCTTCTTTCTTTAGTCTACGTATTTTCGATGAAAGACTCCAAATATGCATATAAATGTGAAGTTCGTTCTGTACTGGAAAACTCGAGTCGACCAACCAGTACACTGTGGGTGAATTTGATGGCCAAAGGAGCACAGGTTCGTTGTGAAGTGTCACAGATGTGTTTCTTTCCATAGTACATGATTGCTCATGTTCTCGAGAAAAGAAATATCGTCAATGATTTTCCTGAAGACTGATTCGCAAAACTTGTCACTTCGAATCGATAACAAAGTGAAGATCAATGTGTCACTCTCTTGTTTCGTTTGATTTTAGGGCGGAAAGAAGAGTGCAATTGGACAGCCCATCATCGGTATTTTGCCTTATATCAAACGAGAGATTCCTATCATGATCGTCTTTCGCGCTCTTGGCCACGTTTCTGACCGTGATGTTCTTGAACATATCATCTACGATTTTGACGACATGGAGATGATGGAAAAAGTACTGTTGCATATGAGAAACAAGTCTTGTGTGATTTACTTGTGCCCTTGTCTCTATTTCAGGTGAAACCATCACTAGACGAAGCATTTGTCATTCAAGATGATAAACTCGCACTCGACTTCATAGGCGCACGTGGTAGTAATCCTGGTGTGACACGAGAAAAGCGTATTCGTCGTGCGAAAGAAATCTTACAGAAAGAAATGTTACCACATATCGGTATCACTCAACATTGTGAAACGAAAAAGGTGTATTTTCTCGGGTACATGGTGAATCGCTTACTGTCCGCAGCTTTGGGTCGCCGCGAACTGGACGATCGGGATCACTTGGGAAACAAACGTCTCGATCTTGCAGGTCCACTCCTATCCTTCTTATTTCGTCTTCTGTTCAAGCGTCTGATCAAGTATATAACTGCAGCTGGTCAAAAGGCAGTCAATAAGAATCGCGATGTTAGTCAATGGGTCGTTCGATCTGATATAATTACTCAAGGCTTGAAATATTCATTAGCTACAGGTAACTGGGGCGATCAAAAGAAAGCTCATCAAGCGAGAGCTGGTGTCAGTCAAGTGTTAAATCGACTGACATATGCATCCACTCTATCTCATTTGCGCCGAGTCAACTCACCGATCGGACGCGATGGTAAACTAGCTAAGCCACGTCAACTACATAACACTCTGTGGGGAATGGTATGTCCTGCTGAAACACCCGAAGGACATGCAGTTGGATTGGTGAAAAACTTAGCTTTAATGGCCTACATTTCCGTCGGATCTCAACCTCAACCCATTCTCGAGTTTCTCGAAGAGTGGTCAACAGAAAACATGGAAGAAATCACTCCATCAAGTATTCGAAATGCTGCGAAAATCTTCGTGAACGGCTGTTGGATCGGTATCCATCGTGATCCAGACCAACTGATGAACACCCTTCGTCGTTTACGTCGTCAATGCGACATCATTGTCAGCGAAGTTTCCATGGTTCGAGAAATTCGCGAACGAGAAATTCGGATCTATAGTGATGCTGGCCGTATCTGCCGTCCTCTGATGATTGTTGAGAAACAAAAACTCCTATTGAAACAACGACATGTCAATGCACTCAAGCATCAAGATCCGGAATTCGAGTAAATCTTCGAAAGGTTTCAAAAATATAAGAACGATTTATATCTGTTTTGTTAGATGGAAGGACTTACTTAGTGAAGGTGTCGTCGAATTCATTGACTGTCTCGAAGAAGAAACAAGCATGATTGCAATGGTACCTGAAGATCTGCAACCTAAAGGAGAATCAGCCTATTGTTCAACATATACTCATTGTGAAATTCATCCATCCATGATCTTGGGTGTTTGTGCAAGTATCGTACCGTTTCCTGATCATAATCAGTCACCACGTAACACATATCAATCAGCTATGGGTAAACAAGCCATGGTAAATGATGATGGAACAGTATTGTCTGTTCATACCTAGGTTGACTTTGCTTCTTCTAGGGTGTTTACATCACTAATTTCCATATTCGAATGGACACACTTGCACATGTTTTGTTTTATCCACAAAAACCACTAGCAGCCACTCGTGCTATGGAATATCTTCGATTCAGCGAACTACCAGCAGGTAGGAGAAGATGCGTTGTTTCTCGAAATTGTCCTTCACTTTTCTCATAGGCATCAATGCAATTGTGGCGATCGCTTCTTACACTGGTTACAATCAAGAAGATTCGATCATTCTCAACTGGAGTTCAGTAGATCGTGGATTCTTTCGATCCGTTTTCTGGCGTTCATATCGAGAAGCTGAAAGTTCGCAAGGCGATCAACATAAAGAGACCATAGAGAAGCCACAACGCACCACGTGTGTCGGTATGCGTAATGCCATCTATGAGAAGCTCGATGATGATGGCATCATCTCGCCTGGTACTCGAGTCAGCGGTGACGATGTTCTCATTGGCAAAACTGTCACTTTGCAAGATACGGATGATGATGTACGAACATTGCTCGCCATTGTCGCTTTCACCCCATTGCTTTCTTCTCTTTTGTAGCTGAATAGCAAAGCGAAAAAGTTCATGAAGAAAGATGCCAGTGTGTTTATGCGTGCAAGTGAAACTGGTATTGTTGATCAAGTAAGTTTAGTGAAGTTGTCGAAAGTGTCAATAAAAACATGTGAATGATGGATGTTTTAGGTGCTTTTGTCGATTAACGATGAAGGCTATAAATTTGTGAAAATCCGTGTACGAACAGTGAAAGTGCCACAAATCGGTGATAAATTTGCTAGTCGTCATGGTCAGAAAGGAACATGTGGTATACTCTATCGAATGGAGGTAAAGAATAGTTCAGACGGTAGATATCATCACAGAGTTGGTTCGAATCTCTATTCGAGCATCGATCGATCTAGTTATCGAGACAAAGATGGATGAATCAAGTCATCATGTCTTACTTAATTCATCATGGCTGTTCTCGAAAAACATATTCCTTGTCAACCACTAATCGATTCATCTAATCGATTTAGTCACCTTTTCTCGGATACATGACTTCTTCATTCTTGTTTGAGAATAAGAAAGCGAAACAAATCCTGTGTTTGTTCTCGTTTCTGAATTCTCACATATCGAACTAACGCATTACATAGCCCCATGTAAACTTCTTTGTTATGTTTATAGTCGGTACTTTGTGATGGAACACAGTCCCTCTCTCTTCTCTCGACTTCACCTTGACTGACTCTTGTTTCACTTTTTCCAGGACATGCCATTCACTGCTGAAGGTATCACACCAGATTTGATCATCAATCCTCATGCTATTCCATCTCGTATGACAATCGGACATTTGATCGAATGCTTACAAAGCAAAGTTGCAGCCAACAAAGGTGAAATCGGTGATGCCACCCCGTTCAACGACAATGTGAACGTGAAACACATGTCTGAGATGTTGAACGAGTATGGATATCATCTGCGAGGCAATGAAGTCATGTATAATGGTATGACAGGAAGAAAGTTGACTTGTCAAATCTTCTTGGGACCGACTTAGTAAGAGAGGGATGTTTTGATATGTGAGTGAATGAGATCTCGTTTGTAGCTATCAACGATTGAAACATATGGTGGATGACAAGATCCATTCTCGTGCTCGTGGTCCTGTGCAAATCTTGAATCGTCAACCGATGGAAGGTCGTTCGCGTGATGGTGGTCTTCGTTTTGGTGAGATGGAGCGTGATTGTCAAATCTCGCACGGTGCTGCCCAGTTCTTGAAAGAACGTCTTTTCGAAGTGTCGGATCCGTACCGAGTGCACGTGTGTAATATTTGTGGTCTTCTTGCCATCGCTAATCTTGCCGAGAAGACATACAGCTGCAAGGGGTGCACAAACACCACACAAGTATGTTTTCATCAATCATCGACTCCAACTGATAGTTTCGTTTTTCTTTTCTTTGTTCTAGATATCTCAAATACGGCTACCATATGCATGTAAATTGCTGTTTCAAGAACTGATGGCAATGAACATAGCACCGCGCATGCTGGTTGACTAAATTTCGTTTTCTGTCCTTGTTGTTTCTTGTTAGTGATTGTGTATATAAAGCGGGTTCATGTTCGCAGAGTGTTGAAGGTGAACGAAAAGACTGAAAAATCATTTAGGATGGATTAATCGTGGACAGCTTGTTGGTTTTTTTTTTGATGTAATAAACTAAATATGAGAGCAGCTATTTTTTTAAACAGAGACGAAGTTCTTTTCTCGAGTGAAAAATATCATTGGCACGCCCTTGAACGGCTGTTATTAAGATAAGAATGCTCATTCTCGTTGGATTACGTTACTAAATCTTATCGCTTTCATCAGGGATTTCTGTACAATCGAAATAAAACAGGTCGTTTGTTACAAGAGAATCTTTTTATTCCATTCTGTAATGAACAGGCGTTCAAATTGATGCATAGAACATATGTAGCTGGTGTTATGTCTGATAACATAGTTATGCATGTTAGACAATCGTCGAGGAAATGTACACAGGCAAACAACAGTATCTTGTTTCAACTTCATCATTTTTTTCTCGTCGAACTCATTTGTTTGTAAGATGACATAATGAGCGAGACATGCTCAAGTGTCTCTAGTTATTATTGCGATAATTATCTGTGTTCATCGAGAAGTTGATCCTCGCATGGAAATAAAATGTAAATTTTGCTTATTATCAAAAGCATGAGAAAACAAAACGAGCGATGTTTCTTTCAATTAGTCTGCCACATCAACTAGTTCTGACAAGTTGATAAGAGAAGATATTCTCTGTATTTTCAATTCTTTTTTTTTTGGACTCTCTAATTAATCCATCGTTTGTTCGTGCTTGACCGAACCATAACGGATCGGCTTAATGTGTTTCTGAGAAGGAGAAAAAAAAATATGCAAATAGACTGAATAGTGTATATGTGTGTCTTTGTATTTCTCTTTTATCTTTGCTCAGATGGACATTCATATGTCATCTACTCATCTGTCAATATCTTTTGTTCTCTTGAGGGTTTCAGATCATCTTGGAATCAAATGTTCTGGTCTTGATTGATCATTTACCTACTGATGAGATGCAGAAAAAAGACGAATACATCACCTAGAGTGCGAATCAATTAGCACAGTTGGATACGAACGAATTCAATTGGTGACATGTACTGTTCGTCATAGAAGAAACAGTTTATTACAATAATCGAAAAAGAATATAGAAAAGAGCAGAAGGAACTTTCTCAAAGAACATTGTCTATTGGAATTATTTGACAATAAGGCACTTATCCGTTGCCGACGTGAAGCATCTGAATAGAAATCGTAATGGAAAAACTGATCGAAAGAGAGAAAAAATTCGTGTACTAACCTTTCTCAACAACTAATTTTGTCGTACCTCGTTGACGTTTATATACACACGTCCATATTCCTGAATGATAAATTTGAGCATGCTGAATGATTAAGGACGAAGTTAAACTATTGTTAAGAAATTTCTTTCGAATATGAACATCATCAGGTTTGCTTTTGTTCATTTGATTGGACACAAAATGCCAATTGATATGTGATAATAACGCTTCCTGATTGTGATTATCGAGAAAAAGACTACAGTTTAGTTTCACATGCGTTCCTGGTTCAACGTAGAGATATGACGGAAATAGAATCATTGGAATTTGAACATGTAAATAAATCGCAATGCTCACGCTCGCTCGTCGATTGGCGATCTGACATAGATATGTTCCTTCATCCGATGGATTCAATTCATAGATTTCCAGTGTCCAATGAGAATCTCTTAATGAAGACGAGTAAGAAGATATCGAGAAACGCTTATCAGTTGTAAATAATTCTTTGCCAACGGCTAATGGGTACGATAAAGATGTTAATGGATCAACTTTAAACCATGTTACATGATGATCATCTAAATCACGAACATGACATGTTAGAATAGCTGTTGATGAAACATTCCATGTTTGATTGTACGTTTTAGTTAATATTTGAGGAAATTGCTCCTCGGTCGTCGATAATTTTATCACTATGAACAGAGAAAAAAGAAAGAGATTTGATCAAATCTGAGAGAGATTTCCCCATAGATGACTTACTGAAAATGACGAGAAAGATTTGTTTAATTTGAAACATCATCATCGATTTGACAGTTTTGCATCACTATTTGACATCGAGAGACAAACTTCAACAAATCTAATGTTTTACGATTGATTGTGTAAGAAAGCCACTACCTTCGTTCTTTTTCTGTTCGATGTGTTTCTTTTTCAACCGACGATGTTGGTACTAGACATATGAGATGTATGAAAGAAGATGAACGAAGATTATGCTTATTCTCTTGTGCGATGTGACGAACGAGAGAGAGAGAAGAGGAAGAAGAAAAGAAAAATAAACTTAGACTAATGGAATTAGCAATAGGAAGGAGAAAAGATATCTAAGTTAAGAATATGGGATGGATTAAAAGCTGACTAAAAAGAGCGACATACACAAAAACAATAAATAGAATATTCATTGCCTTTTGTTCAAAAGGGATTTTCGTATAAGAAAAGAGAAGAAAAAAGATCAAACGTCGTGCATACAAATTGAATGATGACGCATCTCATTTATTCTCCACTATTGACAAGATTGATATGTTGAGGTGTGATTCTCTATCATTGAATAGATTACACCTCTCTGTCTTTTATGTTCTTGTCATACAATTAGTTTCTTTTCGTCTTTTTTTTCCACTGTGCGTGATTGAAGCGACAAATATACTTCTTGTACAGCAGATGAAGACGTACACGCGTGTCTATCCGAGTCAATTTGATTTTGACACTCATATATATATATGGATAGAAAAATGTAAGCACTTACTTACTCGTTTACACGATACAACTCAGACAAGTCAGCATGCTTGTCAGTGTTTCAGACAGACTGAACATGACAACAATAAACTAGCTTTTCGTCGAATATTAGTATTTTTTTTCTATGTTCGATTTTAATAAAGACGATTATTCGACGTCATGTAACTCACGAGTCTATCTTGAATGCTGAATAGGAAATCAAGGTTGTTTTCTTTTGTTCTGCTACTTCGTTCTTTTCAAGCAAGATTAATTATATGAGGAGAATGGAGAAAGACCGTCGTTATAAAGCTGTCAAGTAAAGTCAATATTTTGTTCAATCTCATCGAGCACAATTGGCTAGAGAGAGACATATGTAAGACATTTGTGATGGCGCTCAAGCGTTAGAATAAATATGGCTAGTACAATGATTTTTTGTCTCTAATCTGATAAACGATATGGTAGGGATGTTGTCTCATGAGAAGTTTCATTGCTTTGTTTATCTAACAGCAACAGGTTGAACTTAATTAGACAGTGATTGCTTGTTTTTCTTGCGTACAAATGGCGAAGAAGACGGAACATTAGATCAGTTAGATATGAATCTTATTAGTAATGGAGGACAAGATTAAATAACTCGTAGAGAGAAAGAGAAAGCGATGTTTATCTTTGGCATAGGTGAAGTTCTAGTGAATCATCATTGTTATGCGAACTTGGAGGATTTCTTCTCTAAACATTTTTCAAATCTCGATCATTATGAGAAAATTGTTTCATCTGTTATTTCAATTCCTGACAAAGTATCGTAGAATTCAAACAAATGTTACCTACAGTTTGCAGTAAGAACACCGAGTAGTTTTGAGTAAAAAATGATATTTCTCTTCGGAATGAATAGCGATTACCGAGACACCGGATTCGAAATGATCGAAAACACACATTAGTCAATACGACGGAGAGGAAATGGAGAAAATCGTAAACAAACATTTTCCGTACTGTTGATCAGGAAAAACTTACTGGTTTACCAATCAAATGATGATTAACAGATCGACAACGAAAGAATAGTATTTTTTTTTAAGTTGAAAATATCAATGGACCCTATTATATCTGACGAGGAAATCAGATGTCAAGATATTGAAAGAAACGATTTATTTAGAAAAAGTACATGTCAATCGAAAATATACTTATCAATCATTGTCGACACACTATTCCAATTTTCTGTACTCGAGTTTCTTTCTGGCCAACCATATATTTCACTTGCAACTGAAATTCTCTTCGAAAAAAATTTGAACATAAACAATGAACATAAAAGTTGACCTGAAAAGAGATCCACACAAGTTTTTCAAAAGTACTCCGTTCATTGACTTACTGCGTAAAACAGACTTTGAATCCATCCAAGACCTGTCCATATGCTTATGATCGACAGATAGTTGTTGATTAGATTTGAATCTCGCGGTGAGATAATCTTATAAATGCTAACAGGAAGCGCCGTTAGAAAGAAGAAACAAACGCTTCCGATTGTCAGTATAAGCATTTGTCTGTTAACTGATCTTCTCTGTTGAGCATTCCTACAAACTGCGAACGCATGAATTGGTCGAACAAATGCTTGTTTACGAACATGAACATTGATCAAAATATCAATGACGATGAAGAACATAATCACTGCTGGAATTATACATGTAGTGATTATCTAAATGAGCAAAGAATGATCAAGTGAATTCAGGACTTCGCCTTCGACTAACTTGAATTATACTCCAGAACATGTAATAGAAGATTGCATATGATTGTTGGGTGAAAGATGGTCCACATGCAGCGATGGCTAAACCAGGAACAAGCATTCCAAACCATTGTGTGAGCAAATGGAAATGCAAGGCGACATCGATGATCAGAACGACACCAACTGCTATCAGTCCTTTTGCTGGCGTACATATTACATTGGACTTAAATGGAAATCGCGTGCGAATCCACCGGTCGATAGAAACAATGACTAAGATCCACGCGGAAGCAAACTGAGCAGCATACATCACAAAATACCGAAATCGGCAAAATCCACTGTACGAAAGTCGACCATAAAACGAGACCTATCAAGAAATCGTTTTCAAGAGAGAGCGTTAGTCTTTTGTGCGGAGGTATTCATCATACCGAGAAGCCGAATTCGAGATAGTCAAAGATACACATGACTAAATACAGTGTGTCGAAGATAGCCAAAGCAATGAACAAACATGCAGTTGATAGTTTTCGCAGTGATGCTCGTGAGAAAGTAAACAGACTAGCTAGATTACCTGGAAAACCAAGTAAAAACAGAATGGAATAACCAACTTGGTAGCAGTGATTAACAGCAGTGGGATTGGCAAAAGACAAACGATCTCCGATAGTGGCGTTCATGGTTTAGGAACGAATGAACAGGAATGCAATGCATTTATATGTGAGAGTACCAGGTCATATAACATGAATTGAAAACTAGAAAAGAGACAATTGATGACCTAAGCAGTTCATTTACTATTTAACAGACGCAATTATTTTGGAACAATAGAATCGGAAAGCCAGCGAGCTCTCTTTTTCATCATTTATAAGTTAAAGCTCCGTAGTTTAGAAACGCGAAGGTCTGTGTCGACCTCATAAAAAAAAACTATTCTATTTTGTCATCTGTACTTTGTGGTGCAACCAATCTATATATAATTTTATATTTATTTGTTCGATATAGAGGTCATTCATATATGAGGAGTGAGTTTTTGCTTCGTGAAAGTGTTCAGAACTGGAACAAAATCGGCATCTTGAGTTACAACAAAGAAGGATAGAAGCCATGCGGTTGGTCTGATGGTGATCATGTGTTTCGCTTGAATTGACATGGCCTGATGGTCTAATGGTATGATTCTCGCTTTGGGTGCGAGAGGCTCCGGTTTCGATCACCGGTCAGGCCCAACTTTCTTTTTTCGGTCTCTCTCTCTCTCTTTCCTTTTGTCTATTCACATACGATTATCTGTTACCTCTTGTGATATATCTAAAGATTCAGCTTCGGCTTTCTCTGATGACAGGTAAAAGAAAGAAAAAAAAACTGCTCAGAATACGTTTGTTTGTTTTTTATTTTTATTTAACTTGATCTTAAACAATGGATGACAAAAATCATCGAAACGATGTTTTTTCTATATTTGAATTTCTTTTTTTCTCACGCGAATGGTTTTCTCTTCTTATTTTAAGCTTTAACAGCATATGTGCGTTGTGGAAAAGCCCATTGTCGTCGTTGAATTTTCTTCAATCGAATCGATTTCTCCTTGGGTGTCAACAGACGTCGAATAGCTCGTGTTTTGCGTTGTCGTAAATCTTTTGGCTTGTATTTCTTGCCATGATATAAAGCACGTAAATTGTCTTTGGTTGTTTGATGTGTAACAATGAGGACACGTGCAATTGATTTGCGAACATTGCGAATTTTGCCAAGTTTTTGAGCACCACCGCTGCCAGTAACTTTACCAACCCGGAGAGTGTTCAATTCTTGACGTAATTCTACTAATTGTTTTTGAAGTTCATCTGAAAGAAAATAACCAATCAATGACGATTTGTTGTGTATTTAGAGATCCTTACCGGGCTTTTTGCCACGTATTTGTGAACATTTGACACGAGTCATTGTCTGACCGAAGATCTAGAATAAGACGTAGATGTGTATAGATGAATATCAGGTTGAAAATTCTCAAGGAAAAGTGCGAATAAGATGAATGAATTTGTTTCAGTTACAAATAATGATGATTCAGTTGATTCATTGACTGGTTAATATTGATTCCAATTCAATTAGAAACTCTTCTAACTCCTCCTCGATATTCGAAAAGATTCATTTATATAAATCATATTTCGATTTTATTTTTCAGTATCAATCACGATTTACAACAGAATTTTTTCATTAATTTTACATCGTCGATAGATGTCGCATATAACCGAACATAACATAGATCGTGACTTGGCGGCTTAGAGATTTTCACGCTGCTGATATGATAATGAAAAGTTGAGTTATTATCTGAATGTGTGTACATATATGTTTATTTATCAAATCCCTTTTGTTCTACATCGAATAAAAAATACAAGTACATATAAATTGAAATGCTGGAGTAATAAAGATAAAAATAAGGAAAAGATTGATCATTCTCAAACTGTGCATAGTTTATGAGAAAGCGTTTTTCACCGTCTGTTGTGCTGTTTGTTTAACCACTTTTCGCGCGATCTGAAAAATAACAACAATTACAAATATGCAAAGCCAAAGCCAATGTTATTTTTACCGATTTTGGACCAAGTCCTCCGACATAGTATGCTGTTAATGCACTATTACCAATTGCATATGCTGCATTTTCAGTTAGAACTGAAGCATCTTCACCGTATCTATAAAAGACACGATGGTTAACGGCACGGGACAAGTTATTTTCTTACTTATGCTTAACAACACTGACACTTTCACTAGCAATATTCGCTGCCAAGTGTTTTGCGGCATTCTCACAACTTTCATAAATAACACCGAAACCTTTTGAAAAAAAGACAAAAACACGTCGAATCTAAATGTCATATAGGATTTGAATAATTATTCAAGTTTACTGATTAATCCGGCGTGTCCAACACCTCGGAGACCGCTTAATTTAACCGTTTCGATTGTACCATCTGGTTTAACTCTTTTCTCGACTTTACCAAGATTCGGAGCGAATGTTCGTGCCAATGCCAATGTCATCGAACCAACTTTCGATACTACAAAGAAATTATGATGAATCCAAATCGAAAGTTCTCTTTTCATTCTTACCAACATAGGTACTTGCTTTAACAGCTACACCCGATGTAGTACGTAAACCACGAGCAGTAACGTGTAAGCCTTTACTGACTTTTGTTGGTTGAGCATTAGGTACGATTTTATCGTGAACATTTTTGGATACTTGTTCGATTAAGTTTTCAGCCATAACAACACCTGTTGCTAATTGTTTTGTTAAAAACTTCGTTCCTAAATAAGGCATTCATAAGAAAAGAAAATGAAAATGTGAAATTGTACCAGTAATGAGTGCTGCGGCAAGTTTTCCACTTGCTGTATTTGTATCATAAGGAAGTTCTTCTTCGACAGCAGCTTCTTCTTCGCCAATGATCTCAGCTTTTCTAGTCGATGACTCCTTTGTTTGACGGGAAACTGTTGCAACCAATTCCGGCTTGTTTGTTGCCGATTTTTCAGCTAATTTGACAGCACCACTTGTTGGAGCAGCAGTTAGAGACTCGCCATACTAAATCAATAAATAGACTCAAATAGGCACACATATTTAAAGACACGTACTGTTGGTGTACCGTTTTGAGCCATGAAAACGGAAAGTTTCGAAAGAACATCTTCGAAGAAATGACGAATATCTGGTATAACCGATTCATCGAACATAAGGCCAACAAATTCTCCTACGAAAACGAATTTTGTCAGATGAGAAAATTCTTCTTTTTCTGATTTCCTTACCAATGGATGTATTGTTTGGAAAAATATACGCATCATAGCCAGTTTTGAATGATGGAGATACTTTTGGATGTAGTGGATAAATCCAACTACCCAGTTTCAATAAACCACATGTTTCATCTCCTTCGCTAAAATGCATATGTATACATAGAGTTGGTTTAGTTGCCTTTTTCGAATAACATACCTCATTTCGAATATTGTCAATGGTAAAGATTCCGATGTAGTTTGAATTGATCCATCTTTCGCTATATAAAATAGTCGTGCTCCCTCATCTAACTGGAACAAAACAGTTGCATTGCTATTCTCCGGTGTCATATCGGAAGTGACTGGTTCGAATGCTGATGGATCTTCGAAAACCTGTTCAGCCATTTCGGTTAAATCCTGCTCATTGATTGTTTGCGGTACATGATCTGACAATTGACGAACCATATTTTGATAGATGCTATTGGAATCTTTTGATCGGTTTTGTTGCAATGAAGATTGAAGTAAATGTTGATTGGCATTACGTTTTATTGCATTTAATTCTTCATCGACAGCAGATGTATTCTCATGTGAACTGATCAAGGAAACCACACGTTTGTACAGAACAGATGCTTCATCGTATTGCTGATTCTTTTCCAGATTAGTTGCGCGTTGTAGATAATCATTTGCTTCACGTTTAAGACTAGCAGCAGTAGCTTCTGGTCTTGGATTAAGTTTTTGAAATAATGCACTCATTGTAGCCATTTTACTCTAGAAATGAAGATAACGAAATTGATTTATACAATATTATACTATATATATACACGTATACAATCAATGAATAACCGAGAGGAATAGCTCTATGTAAATATGATTAAGATTCATTCGAGAAGCGAGGCGTCTCGTGGTGATCGATTCTTGATACTCGTGAAAAACTATGACTCATGTCCGACGGCAATTAATCACACGAAGAGATACCTATTGGTTCAGTTTCAAATATATGCTAGATGTCACTGATAATCAGTAGCAGTGAATCACTCCAAATATCTCTTATCATACTTTCCATCACCAACTACCGTGCTCAGCCAACCGTATCAGTTTTTCATTTCGATTTTCTTGTTAACGCATGTTTATGTATATGTAAATTACGTCAGGATTTTAAAGCAAACGATTACCCATGCAATGCGATTGTGAGTTTTCCCACTTGCAGTTTTTACAAGGCAAAAAACTTACGAAGGGTGTCAGTGAACAGCTGGACAATTCTTGGCATAGGGAACGTGAAAACGAATGTTTTGAGAGAGATTATTCATTAAATGAAATACGCGTGAAAAAAATCACCAACGAGTTCTTTTGTTCTTCTTTGCAAATATGAGTAACTTGGCTTTTTCCAACATGCAAAGAGGGATGAGAGGGAGTTGTATTTTTTTTTTAAAACTAGCGCGATAAACGACTTGAAAGACACTGTGTTATTGTTAAAGTGAGCAGAATAAACTTCGAATCCTGAGGAAGACAACCAATTTTCAATCTCAGTAATAGAAAAGCATAATCACCATGCCTTTTGAATTAAAAATAATTATTTATGGTGATTGGGCGAGTATTGAAAAGCATGAATGGAACCTACCGTTACCTGTTAAATTCGCCTCTTCTTGGACAAAACTCCAAGAATTTATCGATGGTCAGCCAGAAAGCGTGTCCTACTTTCTAATATTGCTTTCCTTATCCGGTGAAACTTTTGAAGCAGTACTGAGTCGAATACTATGTCTAAAAAATATAGTTCGGACGTTCGTGTATGATAACAAATACCACCAATATCTAATCAATCAGCGCGACATATACCAACTTCCCAGACGTCGTGTCACATATTCAACAACATGGCACGCTATATGTACTTTTGAATCTCAATCTGAGCAGTCCCTTCCAACTGATCTCAATCGCGTCGTAGCCGTTACCGAGCAAAATGTTTATAGTTTGAAAAGATGGCTGCAGACAAATGATAAAGTACTCAGGAAATTTTGTTGACGAAAGAAATTTGTAGCAAAATTAAAATTTAGGTCGAAGCTTGTGATGTACTGATCATTCCGGTTCATTCAACTCAAGCTAATCTTCTAGATTTTCAACAAAAAATGATCGAATTTTGTAATTAGATATCGTTCATTTTGATTCGAATACATTGTTTATATTTCATTATAGGGATAACTTTTGGAGCCGGTTTCGAACTGAGAGTTTGTACACTCTCAGATTATATCTGTTCAGATAATTATTCTAACAAAATGTCAGAGAAAGAGAAAGTGTTCGTCGATGAACAGAATAAGAAGATTTGCCACCTTCTAAAAAAAAATCTAGCACCTATACGAATATACCTCGTTGCAAACGAAGAAAATATCTCCGATCAATGGAGTGAATACATGATCAGTCAAGAATCTATAAATCATGATCAATACTCTTTACCATATGATGATCGTTGTACCTGTTATGAACATGAACCTGTCACTGATACAAACCTACAACGATTAAAAGCATCTAACAGCGCTTTGAAAAACTTGACAAGGCCAATGTTACGACGTGTGGATGGTCTCACGGATAATGGTTTAGAATGCGCCCGATTCCTCGATGCACTGGATAGTGGTTCCATTACTATGAAACAACGAGAGATGGTTGCTAACATTGAATTAAGCGAATGGTCAATATATCGTTATAATACAACTACGATGTATAGTAGTGAAGTATGAGAAGAAATGAGAAAATTTGTTTCAATCGGTTTTTCATTGAATATTTCTAGCTTCGCAACGTTGTTCAACCTGAAGATCATCGTCCTAGTTTAGTAAATCCTACTGGTGATATAAATAGTGCGATTTTAGAGAATGATCACTAAACTTTATCATATCTAACGAGCGTATGAATATTTTTGAACGTATGTGATACGTATATATATTTATACTTTGTATAACGAAGTCTAAACAAAGCTTGTACATTTTTTTTATAGCACTTTTTAATAAGACGGTCAGGAGAAAGCAAATAATTACTCTCAATACACGCGTTTCACAGGGATATTCCAGTTGTGCGCGAAAAATGTTTTTGTCTAATAAAAGCACGTCTGTCGAACAACGAACGGGCATTGACATGTTCAGAAACGTGTGTATTTATGTATATGTGCTTACTGAAGCAGATCGGTATATTTTGCATCAGCAATCAGCAACAATGTTTTGTCTAGTGGTAGAAATAGTGCGACATCAAAGTTAATTCGAAGATATTGATCACTCGTGTTCTCCACAAAGGAAAGTTAGAGCGATGACTGTATGGCGTGTAATATGACGTTGTATATACGAAACTTATTCTGTACATGCCAGCGGCCAAAGTACACCTTGCTAATCTAAAAATATATGATTACTGTAAATTTTTCTCTCTCTGGAGAACAATATACAACTGCGCAATTATTGAATTATTGTCCAGTTATCGAAACAGCGTCAAGGTAGCTTTTAGGTACGACTACAAAATAACTTGACAATGAAAATACGTTTTTGACGGGTGTTATGTGAGAAAAAGAAAGAAATGTATTTCTATCACCAGAATCTTCTATTGTCCTTCAGAAATGATTACGCTGTGTTATCGTATTAAACATCTGTTTCGTAGTGAAACGAAAAGTTCATTTCGCGAAGTTGTTTTCTCTAATCCACTGTTTTCACGTTCTATAGATATTCTATACTCAAACACGTGAATCGATGTTTACGCATATCTGTCATAAAAGAGAAAGTAAATCAATGGAAGAAAAATCGATAGGACAATCTAATTTTTATCATTATCCAATATCCATCAAAGGTAAACGTAAGGCTTCTTTTGTTCTACTTATCGTTGCCTATGCAAGATAAGTATCACATTATTTTTCTTATGAAATAAATCTTTTTTTTTTACCAAGGAAAACAAGTGATTGGATTGTTTCAGAATAGAAACAATACGCTCTTGCATTTTCAATACGCACATTCATGCGTTCGTAGTTGCACTATTTCATATTTACACTGTATGTCCGTAATCGAATGTTTCCATTTATATTTGAGATTTGAATATTCAATTAATGTCGCGACTAAACACGAATGACATTGTATGTGACAAAAGAACTCGATTCGTGCCATGCAACGATTGAAACGGTCGGATTGACATTCGTTCGATTTAAATGAGTAAAAGAATCGAAACGCTCTTGACTTCCACATTGAAGAAATTTCTTTTTGTTTACAAGCTATCTGTACCATACGCAATACTAGTATTTCTGTCAAGAAAACTAAAACCGTGAGGTAATGACTCAGTAGCGGAATTTTTTCTCGTACAGTCTGTATTTCTAATTCGTTTGATTAGTTTTTCTATCGAATGACACAGTGTATCTAAGCTGCATTCATTCTGGATGCTTGTCAATGTACAGCAAAATAGTTACTGTTGAGCCATTCAAACTGCATCGTAGACAGAGGTATGAAAAAGAAAAGATGAGTGCATTTTGAAGATGACTTTTATCTCGTGAGTGTATTCTTTTTTTGTTCTATTTGGTGTATTACTTGGGCACATTTTTCTTTCAAATTCATATTTTTGTCGTAGCCAAGGTTGAGTATTGTATGCACACAAGGGAGAGAACTATGTCATAAACGAAAAAGAAACAAGAAAGGTAGGCTTAGCGACACGTTTGATGATTAGTTATCGGGCATGATTGAATGTATATATCGTCTTTTTTTGCTATATTCAAGATAAAATTGTACTTTTGAAACATATTGATTTTCTTTTCTAGTATTGTTGCCTAATTTACGATAGTATTACTTTTCACAAGATTTCCGGCCGATGTCATTCCAAAAGTGTGCACTTGGAGACGCCACAATCTCGGACAGACACTATTCATCATCATCGCATTTAGAAATCATTCTGGACGATCATTCCAACTGTGACTCGATATTTGACGATTACAATAGTTCAGTATGGTACGTTGATTTTGAGGAGAAAATCGAGATTTTACCTGAATTGTTCTATTTCCTAGCGAGCCAAAAACTAGCACGACGAAAGACAAACATAATGCACATCAACGACACAAGAAAAGAATACTGAAAGTGAGTCACGGATCGATTGAGTTAAAGAAGAAAGTAGTTTGATACTTTAGACACCGAAGCCGCATCGATTGATCGAAAAACGTCGTCGTGATCGAATGAATTCGAGTTTGAGCACTCTCTTAAATTTAGTTCCTCACCAAAAAAACGAGGTAAAACATTGAATGTTTCAATTCATTTCACCAACAACATCGTTATAGAACCATAAACGTGTTGAAAAGACGGAGATTGTCGAAATGGCAATTAAATACATTCACACAATACTAGCAAACAACCAAAAAACCGGTAAAAATCGACTGGGAGTGTTTCCATTTACTATGTATTACTTCATACTTAGCTGACACACTGAATGCCGAAAAACAAACGATTATCAAACTCAATGCGTATCGTTCTGGTTATCTCAATTGTATATGTGATGCATATGAACATTTCGAAAAGCAACCTGCTCATCAACGAATCCTTCCGGACTTCGTGAAATTCAGCACTAATAAAGAAATCGAATTAAATGATTTAATTGGTTAGACATATACTTAAAACCGATCGTTTGTAAAATTCGTTTTCTTACATAGATCTACCAGAGAAAAAAACGCTTCTGAAAGCCCGAGCACGATCTACAGGTCATGGCGAACAAATGTGCTCCGCGTCCGATGTACAGTCAATGACTGAGTCTGACTACGAAGTTCAATTTCCAATAGATGATGGTGAGAATTATCCTAAGCAAATTAAAGTTCCCATATTTGTTTTACATCCATCGGGAACACATTATGTTCCTATGCATATTGACTCGTCCGTTGTTTCTCATGTGTTTCGAAAGAAACCCAACGCTTCACATCCGTCGTGTGCAAATGAGAAAGCTCACTGTCATCCAATATCGATACCGATCAACTTTACTCCAGAGCCAATCGTGTTTGAACCTTGTAGACTTGACCTTCAAAATATAAACGTTATCGGAACAAAACATCAAGCAAGCGTCAGACTTCATTAACAATGTAGATTCGTATTTTTGCATTTTAATATCTTTTTTTGTTTGTTTTCTTTATACAAATAAGAGAAATAAAAATTCTCGACTAAAAAAAGAACTTATCGCATTATGTACTAATGAAAATTTACTTAATATAGATAAAATTTAGACTCGAATGATAATTTTTGTACAGGTAAAAGGATGGCATGGACATGTTCTTCAAGTACAAAACACTAACAAAAGAACTTTCAACAACATTTTTGGATCTGTTGATACCTTTGACGTTCACTCTTGATGTGCAACGAGGATCATGTCTAATGTAGGTCACATCACGAGGACAAAAATCTTGACGCGACTTACCTTCTTTTAGAAAATCCAAACGACTTTACTTATCGGTATTGTCTGCAAGAACAGTATACATGACGTTTGAAAGAGTTAGCTCGTTTTCTCTGGTGTCGAAAGAACAGAATGTCTAGAAGATGTTCAATATGGAGGTAAGCGACAGTTGGAGAGTATGAAAGTCCAATTGTGCAAGAGTATGTAATCGATTTTTAATACAGTTTTTGTTATCGAGGTACAAAAGCTAAAGACAAGGGGAAATGCTACGATCTAAGCACATGATCAGAAGAATTAAAAATGAATCTCTCGTTCGTGATATGTTCATTTTTTTCACATTGAAGGCAACATCTTGTCCTACTCGACGACATGTTAAATCTGTTCGTTCTTTCTGTCTCTCTTGTACCTATACACGTCATCCAAATGTGTGAGTGAATACGTAATGTAAGTCAGTTGAACAGAAGTTTTATATTAGTCAAGTGTACGGAAGATTTCTTCATATAAAACAATTGACATTAGGAGAACAAAGATAAGACGAGTTCTATTGTTTAATATGACATCTGGAAGATAGAAATCGATAAAACACGACGATAGGGGAGATACTTTTTTGCTTTCACTTGTGCAATTTAAGTAAGTTTCACCAAGAAAAATATTGATATCCTTGAGCGAGAAAGAAAAACGCTTTACTCTTCATTTGAGACAGTCAACAAGAATCTTCTCTTATTTCTCAAATATGTACAAGATACATAGATTTTAATCAAAGATCAAATATCTTTTTAGTTCCAAGCGAAACATTTCAATGATGCTCAATTGTCTTAACGGCGTAAGTCACCGTATCCAATCTGTTTTCATGTGTTTATACCTGTGAGAAAAGAAAACACATCGGGAGAGAGGGAGAGAGAGAGAGAAGCCAATTTGATATTGTCAATCATAATTTTCTTCCCTCTATTCTCATATAAAATATACTTGCCATTTTTCTTTTCACCTTGGATGCTCAAATATTTGTCTCGTTTTTATTACATACAATGTTATTGTAGTATCGTCATTCGTCTTCGTTGCCTGTCAATACATTGTATTTTCGACCTAACCTTCTCAAGTCGAATGATATNTTCTTGCCATCGCTAATCTTGCCGAGAAGACATACAGCTGCAAGGGGTGCACAAACACCACACAAGTATGTTTTCATCAATCATCGACTCCAACTGATAGTTTCGTTTTTCTTTTCTTTGTTCTAGATATCTCAAATACGGCTACCATATGCATGTAAATTGCTGTTTCAAGAACTGATGGCAATGAACATAGCACCGCGCATGCTGGTTGACTAAATTTCCTCGTCTGTTCTTGTTATCGATAATGTACATATGTAAAACAATTATAAAGAATCATGCTGGATGGATTGAGTGGTGAGAACTTGTTTTTTAAATGTTTTTAACTATACAAGAGAAATAAATTTTCTTAAATAAATATTAATATTTTCACGGCTACCGTGGGGATCGTGATCTCGATCCAATGATTGAAATTCTTTCTCGATTTCTAAACTTATACACAAAGCACTCTAGTTTTCAACTTCTAAGCTCAGAATTCGAACATTCGAATCGTCAACTACCTTGGGATGCGAAGCCCTGCCTTTTTCATCCAACATTATATGACATCTGCTCTATGGTAAGGCGGCAGAATGTCTCCTGGAGCACCCTTAGTCTATCCTACGAATAATTCTTACATCTACACTCTGAAATAATGGAAAACTAAACTGTTCGAATTGTAAATATAGAACTTACAAAGTCGAAATATATTTCCGACTTCTACGTGTATTGGTAAATAAAAACCGAGATGTTTCGGAAATTAGATACGCGGTTCGACTCACAAACGATACGTCAATCTGAATAGTGTGATGGCACTGTTTCAATTCTATTACCATGCAGACTCTTGTTCATTCGTGTCCTTGTACGTGGACATTGCAAAATAATGATCTTTAAAGACAATTGAGGGAAATCATTAACATCAGTTTTTGTTATATACGTATTAAACATAGAACAAAGCAATTATTAATAAATAGTATACTGTGTCGACAGTTGCAGAACTTTATGCAACGAATGAAATTTTGAGATAGAATGTAGTCAAGAATGAAATTCTTGTCCAATAAAATTCAGTATGAATTTTCTTTCAAAGAGTAAAATGAATCTATGCAACTGAAGGCGTGAAAATATGATGACTTTTTAACCACAATGTTTTGTTTGTTTATCCTCACCAGCCGGCTATTGACTGGACAATTCGACGCTCATTTAATTAATTGTATAACGCGAAGAATATACACATAAGACTAATTAATGGAAATTGATAAATGATTGTTTATCGATGAGAAATAATTTTATTAATGAAAAGAGAAAATATGACAAAAAACAAAACAAATAAAGAATTTTATTCAAATCGACACATTGACTGCCAAGCTTTTCAAGTATTCACCAAGATCGACGTTAGAATAATCATCGGCTATAAGCGTTTAGTTGTATCTTCGATTTTTTTGATAGGTTGTTTTTTCAATTCGTCAGGTATTGATGTTGGTGCTTCACGTTGTCGACGGATTGTTCTCTGGAGTGTTGCCATTGTAGGTAATGGAGCAGCTGCATCCAACGAACAAGATTTTAGTTCAGAAAATAAAATAGTACTTGTTGGCTCGTTGCTGATAACAGCGCGAGCTTTAATTTTGTTTTTGAATTCTATGACTAGAATTTGATCAATAGATGGTCCATGACAATGTGCGGTTGGTCTTTTTATGAAGATGGTCATAGATGGATCAGTATGGCAACGCCCTAATCGATACGAAAAGTTTATCAAAATCTTTTTTACAATTTAACCTACCTTTACACAGACGATTTTGACATCTAAAAATAATTTTTTCTTCCGTTTTACGTTCTTTGGTGTAAATGTAACCTTCATAACCAAGCATTGGTTCTCCTTTTTCGCTTTCTAATCTTTGCATTATGTTCGTTATTTTGTAATAGAGAGTAATAGTCGTTAAGTTTACGTGAAAATGTTCTGTTTTAGGAATCCTCTTATATAAAGTCTTCAGGTTGATCTGTTTTCATTAATATTCTCAAGATGTCAATGGAAAAATTGGTTTTAATTTTCCAAAGATAACACAATCATCTGCAATCAACATTTATTCGGTAATTAGATTACAAATTAAATTAAAACACTTAAGAAAAGAATCAGAATATGATTCACATTAATTACAATTCGTTGCGACGAATTATCCTAGCGTCGTCGACTCACTAGATGAATCGATTTTTTTTGCAAATGAGTGAAACTCGATTCGAGTTAAGATAATGCATGACTTATTAATGTCTGAAGACAGCGTGCTCTATTGAACATAAATATGTGGATCTTTACTCAGAATCTCAACTTGGAAAGTCATCAAAGATTGTTCGTAGAATGTTTCTTTCAGCAGAAAACATAGTGACTTTTACGTTGCATTACTGTTCGTAAAAACAACAAGCCAGACAAATGTTCTTCTTCATATGTCCGCATCCATGTCTTATCGAACAGGGAAGAATGCGATGAATATTGTGCTATTCTCGTCAAAAAAATTGATAGTGTTGACGTTAAAATAACAAACATTCCCAATATCATGGATATTTTGACGAGATCAGTTTCTGATCGCTTGACATCATCTTCAACGCCTATAGGTACGAAGAGACATGAAGCAGTTGCATCAATGTTGCTTGACAATGTCGAACTTGTACTCAATTAAATATAATGCTCGGTGGAGGATCAAGATATAGTTGATTTTAATTTTAATATTGAACGTAACAATAACAATGATAATAAAAAGAGAAAAATCCAAGTGTTCGAAGCCCTTTAAAGGGCTAGAAGACAAGATTCGCATCCGTGGTTTTCTAAAATATACCGAATCACAAAGAACCAAACAGAAATTATTCTCAGGCCATGATCTTGATTTGAAAAGACGGGCATTTCAAAAGACTTCGTAGTATGGTGATATAATTTTCATGGCTGGTGAGCATTGACTAATTGAGTTTAAAACCGTCATGATATAATATAGTTTCCAAAAGAGTATCGAATTGGATCTCAGACGTGCTCGTATTGCGTATGCGTATGTAAGGATGAGGATGGAGGATATGATGTATGAAATGAGGTGGTAGTGAAAGTGAGATTGGTGAGTGAATTGCTGAATTTGAGCATGAGTCTAAGCGAAAGAAACAATTTTAATCATTTTTATGTAGAAAGTAGTTTCGGTAACTCTGTTGCACAGAGATATAATCGAAATTAGCGTTTTGTATAATACATGGCGGGAAAGATAAATATCACAAAAGAAGAAATTTAAAGCCAATGGATCTTCTTATCGGCTGCGGTTTTTCAACGCGTAAGAAAATGAGCATAGCTATTTCTTATTGCCACCGGATACCTCTGCTAGTAAATCTCCATTCATAGCCATATCGATTTTGAGCGAGAGCACTACCGTGTTTTCGAAGAAAGTTTCATGAAGATCCGAAGCTATAAGCCGCAGCATTTTCTTATAACAAGCTAGGCATTAAAATATTCAAAGAAATACATACGAACCAGATATGTGTTTACATCTGTTCCGAAAATCTTTACAATCATCGTGATGTTTGCATAGTCTCTACAGGTGGATCTTGACATGCCATATCAATTTCGTTCACTCGAGTTACTCTTGCACCGGTCAAAAGTTTCATTTGCAATCAAAACTCTCGCCCGAATCAATTTCAAGATAAACAACGGATATGGAAATTACCTGAAAACAGATATATACAAAACTTACGAAACTCGTTCGATGATTTATTCACTGCATAAACTAAATCAACTTTGAAACAATCCCAAGCATGTCCATATAAGTATGGATCATAGCTTATGATACACAGATAGCTGCTTACTGAGTTTGGATCCCGTAGTGAGATAACATTATCAGTATCAACAGAAAGTATCGCTTCGAAGCGGAAACAAACACTTCTGATACTTTTTTTCTGGTGAGCATTTCGAACAAATGAAATGCACGATTTTGCAGAACAAACGTTTTTGTGGAAAGACGAATGCTGCTCAATATGTCGACCGCCATGAATAAGATCACTATTTTATTTCTTAAACTTTGCTTTCCTATGCAACTAATGGACGTGCGATGTGATTTCTATTCAATGTACGAGTGATTAGTATATGGATAGCAAGATTTTCTTCTACTGAGCTATTCAAAACTTGAACAAAGTACACAGTTTCACTTAAAAACAACGGCGGATCAGGTCACGCTGTCTCTCGAATGGTCATGACGTGTTCCGCTTAAATTGACATGGCCTGATGGTCTAATGGTATGATTCTCGCTTTGGGTGCGAGAGGCTCCGGTTTCGATCACCGGTCAGGCCCAACTTTTTTTCTCTCTCTTCTTTGTTGTTCTGACTCACGTATAATCCTCGTTGTCTTCTTTGGTATCTATATATTCACACTTGCTTGTCTATGATGACACTATCGACATGACAGATGAAATGCAGAGGAAACTGCTTGGAATATGTTTCGTTGTTTTTATCAAACTCGATCTTAAACAATAGATGACGAAAACTCATCGAAGCCACGTTCGAATTTCCCTTTTGTCTTAAGCAAATGATTTTGTCGTCTTATTTGAGTTTTCATAGAATATGAGCACTGCGTAGAACTATCTTTGATCGAATAGATTTCTACTTCAATGTCACAAGACGTCGAATCGCTCGTGTTTTGTATTTTTGTAAATCTTTTGATTTGTACATCTTGCCGTGACATAAAACATGTAGATTGTCTTTTTTGGTTGTTCACTGTGTACCAACGAAGAAATTTTTTGCCTAACTATACGGAGTGTTTCATTTTTAGCATAATGCCGCCAGTTGTTTTTTTTTAATTTCGGGTCAATGTCAACGTAAAATGCTTCGGCATACTTCGCGCATAGTCCAACTAGGGAATGAATTAATTCTCTTATCGTACAACTTTCCACTGTTGCAACACCGACAGACGGTAATAAGCGTGTTATTGAAAAGTCACTACGTGGCGAAACGCGGAAAAATTCATATTTTACCATCTAGGTGTTTCAACAGTAGAACAATATCTCAACCTACACAAATATTGTTTCGAATGAATCGGTAGCACATCAGTCATTTACCTGTTCCCAAAACAACGCTTCGAGGGTTGTACCAATAGCTTCATATGCTTCCAATATGTCTTTCGACCAGCGATAATCTTTGTCGTTCCGATAAAGGAAAAGATTTCTTAGTCGTCGTTTTAACTTTGCCTCTAGTTACATTCGAAAGGTAAACGCAAGTCATCGAAGACCGTCGTTTCGTTTTCACATCACAAGTTTCCTGAATTACTTGATCACCAAGCTGAGCTAAGCAAGATTACAAGTATTAGCTTCATAGGTTGAATTTGTTCCAGCGAACTATTCCGGGATGCATTCTCTATCAGTAATTGTTGAAGAAGCAGATTCGACCGAGAAAATATCTTTTCTCCTTTCCGTGTGCTGTACTGTTTCCAAAAGCGGAAAACATGCATTCTGATTTTTTTTTCGTTTTCTAAGAACATGAATATCATATGACGTTCAGCTAAACTATAACACGTGTGATTCTTATTTCTTATGACGTAGGAAAAGTTGGCAACATATTCGAGTATTTCTTGTCCAGATTCACTGGAGAACCTGCGGTGGATTCAGAATTTAATTCTCTATTGAACAGAGCTGGGCAACTCAACTCAACTCAAAAAGGTGTTCAATTCAATTCAGCTCGTGAATCGAATTGAATTGGGCCCCGAGTTATACCGTTTTTAGGTAAAATATGTAGTTTTTAATGGGTAGAAATTAGGAAAATTACGTTTCACAATATAATAAAACGTTATTAAACAGAACACAACACTTTATCTTGATGACATTTGATAAATAAATTTTTGTCTCTCTCAATTGATAGAATATTTTTCTCGATTGAGTTGCCCAGCTCTGCTATCGAATGATGTAAGTCTCGAGGGGTATCATCGCAGGCGAGGATATGAGTGTGGGCGTGACTAGTTTTTTCTCGATGATCCATAGCGAAAACTACATCATTCGAGAGAGAATTAAATTCTGAGTTCAGCACAATCATTTTTAGACTCAGCATAAGTTCTCAGGCGAATCTGAACAAGAATTAAAAAGTTTTCAAGTACCAAAAATCCTAGTTTTTCTTCAAGAACTTCAGTTTTTGGTCGATGGCCCCTATCAAAACTGACATCATTCGAGAAACAAAAAAAAAACACGGATTGACAAGACGATAGAAACAGCTTGCATCACAAGGATCGAGCCGGAACGTACAGTTTCTTGAGAATTTCCGTTGGCAAAATGACCAAAATCTTTCGGCATCGTTTCACTTCGTCTTGATTTCAAGCTGACGACATGGACGGACCATCGACGGGAATTATTCTCTTCTAACTGTCATCACTAGAATAGAGAAAGAGAGGGAAGAACGTTAGTAGAGATTATCAAAGTANAAAGGCGAAAGGAATAACAGAGACAGCATGGCAACGGCTAGCCGTGAGTGACCGACCGGAGGGAGGTCGACGAACGACTAGACGTTTGTTTTGAAAATTACTTGAAAGATGAGATTTATCACTGTCTCAACTAAAGTCAATGGTTTTTGAACGAACATAATTGATGTGTTTTCGAGCTTCGAGAATAGGGATTGCACATTATCAGCGCTTCATTGAATCCAACATATTTGTTCGACAGTTCCGGGCCCTAAGTACACTCCTGTCTTTCAGCACCGCGCTCTTCATCGACTGCTTCCTATCTTGACTTGAATGAAATTGACTCGATCATTGTTGAATAAAGGATAGGGGCGTATAAAACCGTAGTTTCGCCCGTTTCACTTTTCTAATGAAAAACTAGTCATTTTGTTTAGAAATCGATAGATATCAATGTTTTAACTATTTTCATACTCAAATAGTTGGATATTTATTTGATTTTTATAACTCACCCAAGAACATCAGGTCCATACCATTTTTCATCTTTTGGGACTAAAGACTCCAGCTTAAGCGCATCACAGTCGTGCAAAATTTCGCTGAGAAAAATATCACAGATTCAAACTCATTCAAAGATATTTCAATGCAAAATTCTTAGGACTGTCTTTCCATAAAAAAATCACTCGTTCAAAGTAACATTTGTACTATATTTTATCAAATGTTCGTCATAGATCATATCATTTTAACCTACATAGAGCATATGAAGCTATAATATGATGCATAGATTTTTTCAACGAAACTTACATCCACATTTTCATATAACCCATTTTGTAGAGAGTCGAAAGCTCAAAAAAACCTACTATGTTCGAACGTTTTAAAGAGTGGGCCCGTATGTTCTATCAATTATTTCTAAGTCTTATATGAAAATTATATAATTTGACTCTCTTGTTCAGTCTGTTTCTGGAAATTTACCTAGATGATGAATGATGTTTCATAGTATTTTCTCTATCAATCAGTCACTTGTATGCGAATATTCGAGTTGAAATCATGAGATTGAAAAGGATATAGTTTCATTAGTATAGGATATTTCCACGACACTTCTTATTGATGCTTCTTCAACAAAATCATAGTTTTTAATGTCAGGTGTATGAATTTGCTCTGAAAAAGGATGAATGATGAGGTTTTCAGATTTGTGCCAAGGGTTCTACACTGTGGAAGAACAGAAAGATCTCGCAGTGCAGTATAACAATGGATAAAAACGAGGGGGGAAAGGAAAATCATATCGAATGTACGGATATCTGACATAAACAAGGTTCTCGAGGATATTCAATCATCAATCAATATCTTCAATAGTTTTCTTATTTGAAGATGCTGTGGAATCACCAGGATGAATCTCATCATAGTCAGAACTATCTTTTTGTTCTGAGAAGAGCGTACTGTCGTCTCTAGTATGAAACAATTTTGTAGCAGATAGTAGATGATTTAATGGAATAATTCCTCTGTTATCGAACAAGTAACGCTCATCCTTTGGATTCGCTGACCCTTTTCTGAAAGACTGTTCCGAATGCTGAACACATTCAGAGACTTCGAAAGAGAAAAAACGCACTGCGATTGCTACTAGTGCTCAACTGAATCATGGCACTATGTCACACACTAGAATGAATAGAATTCAAAAGTCTTTTTAGGAATCAGACCGATTAGCCATTTGTCAGTGGATAATTCTCCAGCACTAACTATGTTGATTGAAAAATTCATCGCTCAACGGCTAGTCGGACGGCCNAAGAAAGTCTTATTATATGATTTGCTTCGAAACGAACATCTTTCATAGCGCTGCATGTGTTCAGAATACTGTTTCTACAGTCCACGCGTCTGTAGTTACTAAGATGGAATTCCACCGACGGCTATATCGCTTTGCGAACTGCTTCTACTAAATTCCCATGAAAGGACATGATGTACGTAGCCTACAAAACAAAGATGATACTGAGCTCATATCACTTTTTTGGGTTTCTTGAATTAGAAACATCATCATGTACAATGCATTAGATATTTTCGTGTAAATTCTTGAGCTACTATCTTTGTACACATGACGTCCGTGAATAGCGTTCAGCTCACCATCTTCTACAAAAGATTTTAGAACAGATAAAGAAAAATATCTCCTTTGTAAAGAGAAAGGAACAAGCCCAGGCTCAGCGAATAAAACGAAATTCATCCTCAAATTCGAATTTCCCGACGTCAAAAATACTTCGGTCTACTCTGACAATGGATGTTAATAAGTCGTGGCTAGATAATGAAAAACTAATAATTAATTAATCAACACTAACATCGGATTCGTGATCCTCGACCCCGATTACCCTTCGGTCAATCCTTACTGCATACATTAATAATTCATCGCTAGTTAACCTGTAGTTAATTAATAGTTAATAATCAGTTAAAACTAACCTCGGATTCGAGATCCTCGACCCCGATTACCTCATCAGTGATCAATCTTTGATGAGTATAGAGAAATTTCATTGATTTATAGTATGCTGTAGTCTGATTGGATTATGCAAACAAACAAACAAACAAAATTTATCGATTTTCATGACTGTATTTATGACGCTATAACCCTTTCTTTCAGAAAAGGGAATTAACTGAATTACCTCGAATGAAGACGAAACAGAGAGTGAAAAGGCAGCAAAGTACATTTTTCTTATGAAATCAAAGTTTATTTATGGGCGAAAATCACAAGTTATAATTTAGCGAAAGTTTTTTTCTTTCTGTTCAACTGCCACATTCGAAGACGATGGAGGAGGAAACACATTTTTAATATCACCTACGAACATATCAAAGCGAAGTAGAGTCTTGTCTTTATCTAAAGCAAAAAGTTCGAATTGATCTATTCGATCAAAATCAATCGACAATTGTTCGAAAAATTTCTTGGCAAGCGACGAAATCAATTGCTCAGAATGACATGGCAGCACAATCGTCCGATCGAGATAGGTAATTGAACATGACAAATATGGAGGAGAATGCAATAGAAATTCGAAGTTTGTCCTTGTTGCATCCATGTCATTCATCGATAAGCCTTCATCAGGATTCGTTCCGTCGATTAATCGTAACTGAGCGTTGTCTTCTGACATACTAAATAGACGGCATGAAATAAAACACAAGCGTTCTACAGTCATTATGCGATGGCAACTAAACTGAATAATTTTGCCATGCTCATCCAAATTCACTCTCACGGTCACTGGTAAACTATTTTCAGTAGTAGTGAAATGAATCGGTGTTTCCGCCATGAAATAAATTAATTGAGTTTCTTTCGCAGCAATAATCTGATTCAAGTAAAGCAAATATTGAGCATCAAGATTGATCTGTTGTTTATTGCAAACATCGACGATGGTAGCATTGGAACTAAAACAGTTCTCGACGACAAATGCCGATGATGTGATTGCAACATGACAGACATCTTTTCTATCAACGAGAAGAAACTTATCTTTCTGTATAAAAGAAATAACTTCATTTTCCTTTCGAATTCTTTTCGTTTCTTTCGCAGTTAAACACCGGTCTGTGTTAATTAGCTTTAGCAGATCACGCGTCGTGATGCTTTCTTTCGGTAGAACAATGGTAGTCTCTTTTTCACCATCATGGATTGTCACAACTTTTGATACCGCCAATCGAATATTGTGCTCATCGTTCTCTGTTGTACAGAAGGTTCGCAATGTTTTCTGAACGTCATGTTTAGATAGAGGAATCGACTGGTTCTCTTTTTTAAAACTCATCGTAGTGTTCGGGTGTCGTATCCCCGAATTTGAATGTTCTTCGAATCGAGCCAAAGTCTCTCGTTCATTCGTCTCCATGTGATTGAACCGAACTAGATTTGGAAGATTCACGATTAATTCGATCGCCACTACAACCGCTCTGTGATGTCGTTTCATTCTATCGGCTCTTGCTCTCACTCCCCATTGACTATTACCACTCTTCTCCAATGCATGCACGGCCATCTTCGAGTGACAATGATGTTTATCCTGCTCATTCGGTCGACGCCACCGAAAAAGAATTGAGAATTCAACTTGTTCTTCTTATTATTTATTTACATTAATAAGCAACTGAATGGAATAATATTTAATGAGAAGGAACTTTCTCCAAATTCTCTCAGTTCGTCCACACAGCATAACCTATTGAGGAAGATTCTTCCACTGTTGAATCAGTTCTTTGGTCAACTTCACGTATTCATCGATCAAGATCTTTTTCTTGACCAGATCGTCGGCCACTTGTCGGATTTTCTTTCCGATCTCCTCCTTATCAGCCTAGAACGAGAAAAACGATCGTCAGTAACGTGAAGAAGATTGTGTGAGTCTCTTGTATCAGGGGATGTGATGAAACCTCCAGCTACCGACTATATCGTAAGCTAAATCCACTAATCGAACGAATGGTCTGATATAAGATCAAGACTCACGTCGTGGAACCTACCTGAGGTGATTGGAAGTGATGAGAGATGAAGAGAATGGATGTGAATGAGATGATAAGGGTGTTTTATTGGATGAAATCGAATAAAACACTAAAGAAAACGATAACAAAAGACTGATCGAAAAGAGAAAAAAAACAACATATATACAGATCGAAGATGATCTGAGAAAAAAAAGAGAAAAAGAAGAAAACAAAGAAGAAATGCAATCACAGAGATCATCATGAGAACGAACATGATAATCAAACGAAACTAAAACGACAGGAAAGAAAGAGAAAAAGAAATACAAGAAAACAACTATGTAGAAGGTAGCGTCATGAAGTAATATTCAATGACGCTAACAGATTGGGTAGATGATTCAAATAAGACAAGCCCGTACAAGTTTCTCGGCCATTCTGTATCGATAAAGAAGAAAATCGTATGAAGCGACGGCAATGAATGAATGAGTGAGCGGGCAGGTGAAGGAAAGAGTAGATATAGAAGAGGTAATGATCTGTCACTTATCAATTACCCAGGTCGAACAATCCCATACTCGGATCCCATCGGATCCAATACAGAATTTTATCAGATCCTACAGAAATTCGACGGATCCGATGAAATCCTGGTGACGGAATCGCATTGAATTCCGACGGTCACGGATCCGATCGGATTTTGTCAGATGGTCGGATCCGGTAAGATCCGATCGGATCCAGCATCGGATTTGTTGGCCTGGGTAGTCGAGGAAGAGAGAAAGAAATCATTGTTATTTATTGACGTCGCCGGCATTGACTCATCCAGTAAATTGACTCCAAGTATGGGAAAATGACCTTGTCAATGTTGACAATGTCATTGTCCAAAAGATCGCGTTCGGTTCGACGCTGGTCCACCAACATCTCGAAGTTGAATGGGTGCTTGTTCTTTTGGTGATCGAGCCACATTCGCGTGTTTGCTGTTTGGAAGTCACACAGATCACATTCGATTTGATTGTCGGCCGAAGAAAAAATCGGTTTTAGAATTTCTCTCCATATTAAAGACTCAATGAACAGCGAGTTCAAGAGAAAGACAGCTGGAACGCGAGACGAGTGAACATCTTACCATTTCTAGGCCAGGGAAAATCGTCGAACAAACGGTAAACCGCTTGCGCGATGCTCATGTTGGCAAGTAAGAGAGAATGAATTCTTTTGTTTCTCTTCTTTCTTTCTTTAGTGCTTTGTTCAAAGTCACTTCGAGGGAGGATCGAGGTAATCTATCACTATACATTTCATCACATTCGATAGGACGACGTTTGTTTCATCGTCTGCCCTGAATAGTGAAATAGCTCGTGTGGGTGATCGAACGTTTTCTTCGTCTTTATCAGAGAGATTTCGTTGCTAAGTTTATGAGAAAAAAAAAATGTTTTTCGTTCTTTCGTTTTGTCTGTAAACTCGATGATTTCGATTGGTGAGATGCGCACCAATGATTACTTTTCACTCGACTACAGAGCCATATTTAATCGAAAGTAGAAAGCATCTACAGGTTCTCAGAAAAACTCAACCGTGAAAGTTTCGAGAACATTGGAAAACATCTGGTTTCATACAATTTATCGGATTGGCTCTTTTTTGCTTCTCAGCGGTATGAGTAGTGTAGAAATCGTTAACTCGATTCGAGTATTAAAACTTCCTTCGAATTCTAAAACTTATAAATCTAAAACTGGAAACTTCGAGTTTTCGAGTATTCAAGTTTTTCACTGCTACCACCGTCGTAATCAGTTAGCTAATAATTGATAATCAGTTAGTTATTTAATAATTATCGTTTAATTAGTGGATATTTAATAGCCAATTAGTTAAAAGTTTAAAACTCGAAAACTCGAAGCTTCGAGTTCTAGATTTATAAGTTTAAAAGTTGAAAACTCGAAGTTGAAAGTTTAATACTCGAACTTTGTGTTCGAGTTATACATGTATGAATGATTTTCGGAACAGATGTAAACACATCTTGTTCGTATGTATTTCTTTGAATATTTTATTGCCTAGCTTGTTGTGAGAAAATACTGCGACTTGTAGCTTCCGATTTCAATAAAACTTTCTCTGAAAATACGGTACAGTGCTCTCGTGCAAAACCGATATGGTTATGAATGGAGATTTCTTAGCAGAGGTACCCGGTGGCAATAAGAAATAGCTATGCTCATTTTCTTACGCGTTGAAAAACCGCAGCCGACAGGAAGATCCATTTGCTTTAAATATCTTCTTTTGCGATCTTTATCTTTCCCGCCGTGTATTATACAAAACATCAACTTCGATTCTATCCCTGCGCAATAGAGTTACCGAAACTAGTTTCTTTCGCTTAGACTCATTCTCAAGTTCAGCAATTCACTCATCAATCTCACTTGCACTACCACCTCATTTCGTACATCATATCCTTCACTCTCATTCTTACATACACACACGTAAGACGAGCCACTTTGGGATCCAATTTCGATACTCTTTTGGAAACTATATCATGACGATTTTAAATTCAATCAGTTAATGCTCATCAACCATGAAAATTATATCACCATACTACGAAGCCTTTTGCAATGCCCGTCCTTTCCAATCAAGATCATGGCCTGATTATAATTGCTGTCTGGTTCTTTGTGATTCGGTATAGTTTAGAAAGCCACGGATGCGAACTTTGTCTTTCAGTCCTTTAAAGGGCTTCGGACGCTCGGATTTCTCTCTTTTTATCATCATCGTTATTGTTCAGTTCCGTATTAAAATCCGAATCAAGTGTATCCTAATTCCCCCATTATGTATAATTGAATACAAGTTCGACGTTGTCAAGCAACATTGATGAAATCATTACAATCATCGTGATGTTTGCATAGTCTCTACAGGTGGATCTCGACATGCTATATCAATTTCGTTCACTCGAGTTACTCTTGCACCACTCAAAAGTTTCATTTGCAATCAAAACGCTCGTCCGAATCAATTTCAAGATAAACAATGGATATGGAAATTACCTGAGAACAGATTTATAAAAAACTTATGAAACTCGTTCGATGATTTATTCACTGCACAAACTAAATCAAGTGTGAAACAATCCCAAACCTGTCCATATAGTGATGGATCATAGCTTATAGCACACAGAAAGCTGCTTACTGAGTTTGGATCCCTTGGTGGAATGATCTTATCGATATCAACAGAAAGTATAGCTTCAAAGCAGAAACAAACGTTTGTGTGGAATGGCGAATGTTGATCAATATGTCCACCACCATGAATAAGATCACTATTTTATTTCTTAAACTTTGCTTTCCTATGCAACTAATGGACGTGCGATGTGATTTCTATTCAATGTACGAGTGATTAGTATATGGATAGCAAGATTTTCTTCT